GGGGGGGGGGGGGGAGTGCATACGGCATGACAACATACTTGAGCGCTCGCTTGAGACCATCAGTGCAGGCCTGCTTCTTAGCCTTTTCCAGGCCCGAGTCGCGAGGGGCATTGACGGCTTCTCCATAGCCAATGTCCTCCCGAAAGCAGCCGTTCTAGAGTAGGTACAAGCGCAAACGAGGGGAACGCGCTTGCGTCAACGGCAAGCAGCACACCGTTTCACACTTCCCCATTGCTTTTGCTGGGACAGTGGACAAGCGTGGCAGCAGGCACACCTTGAGGGTAACTCGGATGATGGCGGAATAACCGGCGTCGATGCGTCCGCTCGAGCGCATCGACAAAAAGTCTGTAAAATTTGCCCGACAGTGCGATCATCGCCGCATCAAGGTCGCCGTGCCAGGGTACCGGTAAGGGGGAAGCCGAGTGAACTGGGGGCGTCAAGCGCAGAGCGGAGCATGAACTGCACCAATCAAACTTTTCGCCCGCACCTTTGGTGAGGGCGCGCACCTCCATGGCCCAGCCATCAAAGCCAAAGAGGGCGTTGGCTGTTTGAATAACTTGATGTTGGTCCACGTAGGCAATCTAGGCAAGTCACAAAATCATTTCGAGGCGTCAAAAAGGGGCACAGCGTGTTGATTGAGCAGAGAGCTGGGTGCTGGGTGCAAGTCCCGCTGACCTTGCTGTTGCCGGGCCCTTGTCGAAACAAGATGCGGTCTGGGTGCAGGGGCAGACGCAACGCCGCCTGAATTTTGGCCCGTTCCTCAGACGAGAACTCAACCTTTCGAGAGAAACACACGGGTGAGGCAGGCCTAAAGAGGCGGACGAGGCCGTCGGAGTGGTCTGCACGCATGGAAGACAGCAGGCGGGATCATCAGCGTTCCAGCCCAACCTGGCCGAATATCACGGTGGGGGCCCCGTTGAGGCCTGCAGAGACTTGGTGATCATCGTCAATCGGTGGCACGGCCACGGCCGAGCCGTTTTCTGCCATGGCCCCAGCTTAAAAGGCGCCACACGCCCGATGCAGCCACCAAACGCCGGCGCAAGAAAATGCCATCCGCAGCAGCTTCGTGCGTGTGTGTGTGTGTTGGCTCAACAAATCCAGCCGTGTTGCATGTCCACCTCAAGCAACACGATACAACACTTCCAGCCAACCCACCCGATGTGAATCATTGACAGCCGCAGCGGCAAAGTCAAGCAGGCAGGGCGACGAGGACGAGGAAGAGGAGCACGGGTGTGCTGACGCTGCCAAATTTTAACACTATTTGCGCATGGTGTGTGTGTGTGTGTGTGTGTGTGTGTGTGTGTGTGTGTGTGTGTGTGTGTGTGTGTGTGTGTGTGTGTGTGTGTTTCGACGGCACAAAACGGAAAAAAAATACGGCTCGAGGCGGACACAGCCTGCCACAGCCTGCATGTCGCTTTCAATACAACTTACTGCATCTTCTTCTCTGTTCTTTCCTTTGTGATACCTTACTTAAAACCGGAATACTGCATCTTCTCCACTAAAAGCTGCGTGAAATCATCCTTGGTCAAATATCAGCATCAAATTGTCAGACGGAAATCACCCAACTGTTGACAACGACTATTCTGACCACCAATGGATTCTACCATAGTATGACAGACGTCACACTTTACTAATCACGTTGCAGCTTAGGTGAAGACGCGCGCTCGACGAGCGAGAGAGAGAGCGAGCGAGAGAGAGAGAGAGAAAGGGCAGCGCGACCCGAGTTCACACTGCTTCCCGTTTACTGTATTTTCAAAACCCTCTGTGTGCTTGAATGCATTTACTTGGTTGGATCCTCGGTCGGGGTTGAGAGGAGGGTCGGGTCGGGTCATTGCGCTGCTGGTGGCTCCTCTTGGCTCTTTTTGTCTCTGTGCAGTCGACTGGTGCTCGTTCCTGGTGGTCTTTTGCGTACTCAGTGCAGCTTGCGCTCACGGTCGACATGCGGTCGGGCCCCTTGTGCGGTTGTGTGGTGCGATAGATTCAAGCTTTGCAGCACCCATCAGCATGGCCAAGAAGAAGAAGGGAGGTCGCCGGCAGGACGACGACTGGTAGGCTTGCGCGGCGACAGCTTCTGTCCCTTGCATAACATTTGCTCGAGGGCTTTTGAAAGAGCTAATGAGGGACTGAGCAAACGCAATGCCCAACTCAACGTGTTGATGACTTGCCTCATCGTGTGGTATGGGACGCAGGGATGACGATAAGGTCCCGGATCCCGTGGCTGCCGCGGCAGCAGCCGCCGGCAGCAACGACGATGCTGCTGACACGCCCGCGCCCGCGAATGCCGGCGGCAAGAAGAAGGGTGGCAAAAAGGGCAAGGGCAAGGGCAAGGGCAAGAAGGGCGATGATGATGACGAGTGGGCCGAGGCAGAAGCCAAGGTTCTGAACAAGGCCGACGATGCGGCCAAGGACGAGTCTGAGGACGAGCCCGAGGGTGCGGCTACCGCGCCCCCGCGCAAGCAGAAGCAGAAGAAGGGCAAGGGCGGTGGCTTTGGTGCGTTGGTCCTGGACGATGAGGATGAGGATGACAATGCCAGCGACGCCGGATCGGATGCAGGCGAGACGGAGAAGCCTTTGGGCTTGGCTCCCGTGAAAGTCCCCGCGAAGAAGAACAAGGGTGGCAAGAAGGGCAAGGGTGCCAAGGGTAAGAAGTCTGAGCCCGAACCCGAAGAAGAGCCCGAAGAGGAACCTGAAGCAGCCGAAGCAGCCGCCGCCGATGACGTGGATGACAACGACAACGCCTATGACGACGACGGCGAGAACAACGGCGATGACAATGCCAGCGATAACGATAACGATGAGGATGGCGATGGCGATAGCGATGACGACGACGACGACGACGCTTCGGGTCGACGCGGCAAGAAGAAAGGTGAGTGTTTGCCTAGCTTGTATGGTTCGGACGCACAAAGGCCAGAGGCCTTTCAGCGCCTCACGGCGTGGCCCGGATCTGCTTACACATCTGCTGAAGTACCGTGGTCGCTCATGCTCTGTTGCCGTGGTTTGTGCCGCTGTTGGCTTCTGAATACGATAGAGAAAGTGAGCCGCAAGGCACGCAAGAAAGCCGCTCAACAGGCCAAATTCCAGGCCGAAATTGCGGCTCGCGAAGCCGACGGTAACTTTAGCGTTGCGCAGCGTGCCAACGCCAACGATAACGATGTTCTGGAAAACGCCACCGATATCAACATTGACGCCTTTAGCATTGCGGCGCGTGGCAAGGACCTCTTTGTGAACGCCCAGCTTAAGGTTGCTGCTGGCCGCCGCTACGGTCTCATCGGACCCAACGGGTGTGTGCTTTGCGATCCTTTCCTCTCCGCCACTTTGTGCCAGGCGCTGAGTTGGCGTCCGGCCTCTTACCCCGCTGCCATCTGTGCTTTCCCAGTCATGGCAAGACCACTCTCCTGAAGCACATTGCCGAACGCAAGCTGCGCTTTCCTGCCAACATTGATTGCCTTCTTTGCGAGCAGGAGGTAAAGGATGTCTCTTTCTTTTGTTTGCCTGGCATCATTGGCTTGATCTTGAGGTTTTGCCTGTCGATAACCCCTCTTCGGCTGTTGCCCGTTCTTCCTGCGCTGTTTGAGTGTGTGTGAAGTTGTGTGTGTGGACACTGATTGGACTGCATGCATGCTCCTCACCTACTTGCTTTTCTGCTCAGGTTGCAGCTAATGACCTTCCTGCCGTTGAAGCCGTCCTAAGCTCTGACGTGCGTCGTACCGAGCTCATGCAGCGTGAGAAGGAGATCAACATTCTCATCGAAAAGGGAAACACAGAAGAAGCACTCCAAAAAGAGCTCAACGAAGTTTATGCCGAGCTCGAGGCCATTGGTGCAGAGGCTGCTGAGGGTCGTGCCCGCAAGATTTTGGCGGTTCGTGCTGTCAGCTCAAGTGGACTTGTACTTGCGTTGCCATCGAATATTTTCCTTGTGTTCTCACTGTTCTCTTGTTTTCTCGCCTTCAACACGGCCAGGGTCTCGGCTTTAGCGCGGAGATGCAGGACCGGCCCACCAAGAACTTCTCCGGTGGTTGGCGTATGCGTGTTTCCCTTGCCCGCGCTCTGTTTATGGAGCCGACTCTGCTGATGCTCGACGAGGTGCGCCAACTGATTCACACTTACATGCACCTCACATCATGAGCTCCGGCTCAACCAGTCGAGCGCTGACAGAAGTTCCATGCCATTCTTGCTACAGCCCACCAACCATTTGGACTTGAACGCCGTCATTTGGCTCGATCACTACCTGAGCCGTTGGAAAAAGACGTTGCTGATCGTGTCGCACGACCAAGACTTTTTGGACAACGTGTGTACAGACATTGTTCATCTAGATAACAAGAAGCTTTACTACTATCGTGGCAACTACAGTGAGTCGATGCGCATCTTTTCGCCCCAAAGACTTGAGGCTGGCCGTTGTCAGCCTTTATTCTGTTCCTTTGGGTTACCACTTAATCCTGCACTTCCCTCCCTTGCCACAGCCTCGTTCAAGAAGATGCACGTGCAGAAGCGCCGCGAACAGGAAAAGGCTTTTGAGAAGCAGCAGAAGGAGCTCAAAAAGCTGAAGCAGTCGGGTGTGACCAAGGCCAAGGCTGAGAGTCAGGCCAAGGCCAAGCAAGACATGAAAAAGAAGGGCAACAAGAAGAAGGGAGATGACGATGAGGTCGGTGTCCACCCTCGCCACACTCAAAATGCCGGCTCTTTGTCTGCTATCAAGCACAGCTCTCTCAAGGCTCACCACTGGTGATATGTGGGTGCATCTTTAGGAAGAGGATGGGCCTGAACTTCTCGAGCGCCCCATGGACTACGTTGTCCGCTTTCACTTTCCCAACCCGCCCGAGTTGGCGCCCCCGATCCTGGGTATCCACGGTACGTCGCTGGTTGAGCTTTCGGCGCTTGACTCGATCATTCTAGTCGCCACTGCCACAGTGGTTTGTTGTAGATGATGGTAAGCACTGATGTTTGGGCATGTTGCACATAGATGTGAGCTTCCGCTATAATGAAAAGGCTGATTGGCTCTTCGATGGCGTGGACCTGGGTATCGATATGAACTCGCGGTACGACCCGGCCTGCCGCCCGACTTTCCAGTTTGTTTTGGTCTATTCAGCAAGCTCACGCATACGTTTCACACAACTAATCGTCCCTCCAGTATTGCCATTGTGGGTAACAACGGCGTCGGCAAATCGACGCTGTTAAAGCTGTTGACGGGGGATGTGAATCCGACGCAAGGCGAGATCACTCGCAACCACCGTCTTCGCATTGGCGTGTACAATCAGCATTCCGCCGAGCAGCTGGGCAAGGAAGAAAGCCCTTCTGAGCGCCTGCAGCGTCTCTTCAACCTTCCCTATCAAGGTTCGTGGGCCATTATGATGGGCAACCCTGCTTGTCCATTCTTGTTTTCATCGCTGGTTCACCCTGCGCCTCTTACCTGCTGTTCAGAGTGCCGCAAGACATTGGGCCAGTACGGTCTTGCCTCGCATGCCCACACCATCAAGATGAAGGATCTGTCCGGTAAGTTGTATTCGGGAGTTGATGATGCCTCACGCTTGACGCAATGAGCAATGCCTGAGCCTGGGCGGGGCCCGTTGCTGATTTTGATTCATGTAATTTTTTTTTACCTCGTTCACTCAGGTGGTCAAAAGGCCCGAGTGGTGTTTGCCGAGTTGTCACTTTGCGCGCCCGACATTATCATTCTGGACGAACCAACCAACAACCTCGATATTGAATCGATTGATGCCCTTGTCAAGGCCATCAACGAGTATGAGGGCGGTGCGTGATTCGTCAACAACCACTTCTGCTTGGCACCTGGCTGGCACGCCTTTATGTTCTGTCCTAATGTGTGGCCATCTTGGCAACATGGTTGACCTTTTTTAGGTGTGATCCTGGTGAGCCACGACGCCCGACTCATCCTTGAGACAGACTGCGAGCTTTATGAGTGTGCTAGTAAGTCATCCACCGTCTTCTCATCTTAATTCCCCGCTGCCTAGCAGCCGCGCTCCATGCTCTTTGTCATGATTGCTCAGCGGTCCCGTTTTGTTCTTTGAATTGCAGATCGCGATTGCCGCCGCATCGATGGTGACTTCAACGATTATCGTGATTTGGTCTTGGAGCGCCTCGAAAACGACGACATTGTCGAGGTCGAAGGTCGCGTTGTCGATACGGGCAATCACGCCGAGGAAGAGGAGGAAGAGGAAGAGGAAGAAGAGGTTTTGTTCTGAGTCCTTCCAGCCCCATCCACTTGGTACCGCCAAGGATCGAGTGCTTTTTCAATCTCATGCAAGCGACACCGACCACCCCACTTTGTTGCGAGATGGTACACGTCTTGTGCGCGTGTCAGGCATGACCTGCTTCAAAAACAAAATGTTTTCCAATTCAGCGATGACAACATCTGTCCACACTTCCTCAGCATTTGTCACACACAACCCATACATCGCTGAAGTTCTCACCTGGCGGCGCGAGGCCTGCTTCCCCCGCACAGACAGACATACACAGACACGGATGCACGCACACACTAGTGAGACAGGCAGGCATTATGACTGAGTAATGTTTGCATAAATTTCTTTCATGTTGGGCATCGATCGACCTGTTGTCGAGGCCCCAAACACATTACAAAAGATAAAAATGTAGTCCAATCTAAACACCGCCATCGTACCAGCGGAAATCTAAAAAGCCCCCCGCCACATATAGTTGTCTGTTTGCAATTTGCTGCCTCCAGGTAAACGAAATCACGACCAACCAGTTCACCTTTCAAATGGCAGTGAGGCTGCGCGAGCTTGGCCGCCGGTGCGTCGAGTTTTCGCTTGTCAAGTCCCATTCAATGCCATGCGAGTTGGTGGAGCTGCTGCGGCGTGAGCTCGTGTCATTCACTCCTAGCACCAGGCCACCCTCACCGCTACCCGTACGGCTTGCCGTCTCGCTCTCGTCTGCATCGGTCAGCGGGGTGGAGCGACTGGGATGTTTGCGCAGCCACCGGCGCGAGATACCGCGTTCTCCAGACTCAGAGGTTCGGCGCGGCTGCTGTGGCAGCGACAGCTGGTTCTGAGATTTGCTGGTGTTGTTTTTGTTGCGAGAGCTATTGAAGCGGCCAAAACGGCCGAGGTGTAGCTGGTCCCCTCCACTCACAGTTCCACGGCCGAGGGACGAATCCCCGCCCGCTTCATTCGGTCCACCACGCTGCTGTTGGCGTTGACGTTGGCCGTGGCGCTTGCTCCGCCAGCGCCCCCCCTTGAACATCCGGCCACCGTTTGAATGAGGGGCTTGTGAATCGCTTTCAATCGCAGGTGCTGTCTGCTCGAGGTCAAAGAGGCGGCGAGACAACTCCAACTCGACAGGTGAGCCCAGGACGCGAAGAACCGCTTCCACTCCAACGGCCTTTTCAGAGCGCAGCTCGAACCAAGCTTCCCCAAATCGTCGAGCCCGCAGGACACCCTGGCCAATCTCCACCACACCACTCAAGCGCTGATCACGAATACCCATCACCGCCGCCTGTGGTACGTGCCCCTCGAGCTCGTGGGCAGCCACATTGGCAAGATCTAAGCCCCAGCCCTCCTCGGTGGCTTCCAATTGCACCAAGAGCACGCCTGTATCTGGACTGGAAAGACGCTGCTGTAGGCGCTTGATGGAAACGGGCCGATCGCCGCGATCGACCCGGGCCACATCACGACCCGCAGGTGAGCCCACGTTAAAGTCACGCGAAACAAACTCCAGGTCCTCCACGTCCAAGCCTGGACGCTGCCGAATGGCCAGCAGATGAAGGCGCTCTGCGCCTTCCGTGACCTCGTGCAGCCGCTCGTCGGTCAGACTGTCGCCCTCAAGCGAATTCACACGGATGATGCGATCGCCGGCGCGGAGAGAGCCTTTCACTACCTTTGGATTGGTCGTGGTAATAAAATGCTGCCCGCTTTCCGTAGTGCCGCAGCCAAAGCCAAAACCGCCGGTCAGGGTGTCACGGCCCAAGTCCACTTCTACCAACTGTTCGCCCGCCTCGTCCAGACGGCCCATGCTGGAGTTGCGACGCGGTGCCAATGACGATGTTGCCGATCCACTCTTCCCCTCCTCAGTCAAGCGCAGAATACGCATGTTAAGGATGAGCTTGCCCTGGCAGAGCTGCACCAGCTGCTGATGGCTTAGACGGGTCACCTGTTTGTCGTTGATGCTTGTGACAATGTCACCAAGCTGTAGCTTGGACCAGGCCGGTGAGTCAGACGAGACCTTGGAAATCTCACATTGATCCAGCGCGTTGATGGCGACGTTGAAGCCAAAGGAGCGGTCATACCACTCGCGCTGAATGCGCACTGACACGGGCCGCGCGCGCTGACCCATGCCTTTGCGCGAGCCTGAATTGTGTCCCTGGCTATCCATTGAGGCAGTGCTGTGCACCGTGTGCAAACTGGATTCGCGTGCGCGGCTGACGCGCAGGACCAAATTGGCATTGCTCGTGATGCGCACACGCACATCGCGGTGAGACCAGCCTACAATGACCTGTCCATTAATGGCCAGAATTTCGTCGCCCACCTCCAGCTGTCCAAAAGCCAAGCCATTGGGCGCAATCTTTTCGACGCGATGATGCCCTTGGCCACTGGTGCTGATAGAGAATCCAAAGGGTACGCTGGAAGCCTTTTGTAAGATGACATCAAACTCGCGCACAGCCTCGCGGCGCCGCCGCTTACGCGGCTCGAAGTAGGCTTGATGAGCCGAAGCGAGGCGATAGACCAGCTCCATTTGCTCTGGACAAAGGGGACACTCTCGCGTTGCCTTGCGCCAAACCAGCGGCGAGACCTCTGGGTCAAACTCCAGATCGGCAAAGAGTCCCGACTCATCATGAAAATTCAAGGCGGTCGTCTCAAGCCAGGCGTTGTCCGTATTTCGTGGATCCTCCAGAGCACCGCGGAAAATCTCGATACGAGCAATATCCGGCTCTTCCAAGCATTCTAGAAGCTCATCGGCAGCCGTCCAGGGGGAAGGTGCTTCTAAGCCTGCCGCCTCCGCATCGCCGCCTTGCGGCCCAAGTTGCAAATGAGGTGGGCCGCCCGCACCTGGCTCATACTTGCCGGAACCGGCTTCCTCTTCGTCGCTGCTACTGTTGGCGTCATCGTCCACTTCCTCGATGGTGTGCAGCGCCTGGCTGCTTTGCTCTGCCGACGGCGCAAGCGGAGCTGGACGACCGATTGGAGTGGGCTGAGCGGGATGCTCGGCCTGATAAGTCACTGTTGTCAGCTTGCCGCCTTTGTGGTCGGTACCAGCCACCGCACCAGCGACGCCCTTTGATGCCAAATTGAGGGCGCGCTCAATGGCACCAGAAAGGCTCTCGCCTGGTCGAATGAAAACGCCAGGCAGGAAGACGGCCCCGGACACTTGGTGCTTGAGCGCCAAAAATTCGAGTTCAGGCCGTTGGTCTACAATAGCCATGCGCCCGTCTTCGTCGCGCACCCAACGTGAGATGAGGACGTGAACGGCGTGGTTGGGCCCCCAATGACAAAACAGCCCGCGGCCGGCCAGGCCTTGCCGTCCAAGTGGGCACAACGGCCGATGGTCGCTGCCGATCATATATATGCCCTCGTGGCTGCGGCGGTCCACAAACTGGTCCAACTGATTAAAGCGAACGACCGCCAGCTGTGCGTCCGTCTGGGCCGCATCGGCACGATGGTTCGTAAAGACTGACTCATGCGTGTAATCCGTTGGGCGATAGCCCGGAGAAACAAGATTCCATTCAGTCACGAGAGGAATGGTGCGCACAATCTCGGCTGCTCCGGGATAGTGTAGGTTTTCAGTACTACCCGCAGCCAAGGGCGTCAGCACATCGTCGTTACTGTGGATGGATGCATCTGACGGCGTGCGTGTCACGTTGGCGCTGTTCGCTGCGCTCGACGAATGGGATACGCGAGGCTGAAGGACGCGAAGAACCACTTGACCATTGACGTCCTGGGCAATCAAGTCGAGCACCTGTTCGAGAGTGGCCTGAGCCACATCGTGTTGCCCCACGCCGACCAGCAAAGCACCGGGCTGTAGCCCAGCCCGAGCCGCTATGGATGTGGGTTGCACAGCGGACACGCGTACTGTGTACTGTCTCTCTTGCTCGGGGTCTGCAAGGGCAACAGTGAAACCCAGCTCGTCGTGTCGATTGTGCCGCATGGTGATGGTGGTATACGTTGTAGCCTCGGATGGCCCCTGGGGCGGCACTGCGTCATGTCCGGTAAGGGCATTCGCCAGCACAGTGCTTGCCAGGGAGGCATCGTTGCCTCGAGGCGCCCGTGTGGGGATCTGATCAGTTGCAACTGCCAGCGGATCTGCGACCTTGGCTGGCGTGGTTGGAGTTGCTTCGCTCTCCACAGTCGAATCGGCTGATAGGCGCAAGACATCAAGGGTGACACGGGCACCGGCTTTGGCCAAAAGCTCCTTGGCCCGGGAGAGCAAGATGGTCTTGGTGGTGCGGCCGTTGATTCCGACAACCTGATCGTTGATATGGAGCTGGCCGTCAGCTGCAGCTAGGCCCCTCGCATCAATGTGCGATACGATCACAGGCCCGGGCACGCGATCGTCACCGCTCAGCGAGAAGCCCAAATCACCTGTCAGGGCGTTGCGGGGCAGCTCAATGCGTTTCTCGGTCGGCGCAGCGGTCCTCGGTAGTCCGGCCAGGCCACTAAATGGTGTCATGGGCGTAAATGGCGCGCCTGTCATGCTCCCAGGTGGCGTAACATCAAGTGAAAGTTCCAATGGCGGTGGGCGCGGCAGAGTATTGCTGGTACGGCGACTGGGAAGACTTTGAGAAGCAGCCAGGGAAGCCTCAGCCACAGGGCTGGAGGTATCAATGACATCATACAGGTCCTGTCAAGGAGAGGGCAAGGTTGATGAAGGTGCCGGTAAACATGTGGGCGCACGCACGCACACGAGGGACAGGGATACCTCTCATTGAGAGCTCAAACAAGGACACGTACCGGGGAATGTCGAAGAGCGAAGACGAGTCGGTTGTGTGCACGCGGATCACGTTGCAGCGTGAGGTGTACCGAGGCCTCGTGGCTTTGAATCAAGGCCACAACCTCACCAACGCCCATGTTGGATGTGATGAGAGCATCCTCCACTTGCATCACACGGTCACCGCGCTCAATTTCCTTGGTCTATATCGTGTAAGGCGTTGTGCTGTGAGATGATGCGGCACAAACTGCAAAAGATCAAGCGCAAAGCTTGGAAAAGGCTTCTGAAACAACCCAGCAGTGGGGTTCGGCTGTATCAACGTACCAAGGAAGCATAAGAACCTGGTTCCACGTTGTGAATAAATACACCCGTCTGTGACAATTGCAAACCGGCTTGGCGAGGTCCGACGAGCTCGATTCCCATGCTTCCATTCTGACGCACAATCAGACAGGTGCGAGGGGCACCCATCGCGCCTTCGGACGCTTCAGACACTTGAAGTCGAACAGCAGTTCGTTCTCCAGCCACCTGAGCGCTTTCAATGACTGCCACAGTGCGCTCCTAGAGAAAAAGAGTGAGCGGACGAGGGGAAGAGGGTGAGGAAGAATGCGGACATGTTCGAGCCTGCGGAAAGTGTTGGGATAATGCCAGATGCCTTGCCGCCCAAGCCAAATATCACCAAGCTCGCCATGACACCATTGCTATTTTCGTGACCGATTGCGAAGAGTGCAAGCACCATGCAACCCCAGCACTTACCACCGCTACTGAGTGATCAGCATCTTCCGACAGGGCACGCCATGCAGCGGTTTCTTCCTCGAGGGCGCGGCGGAGGGTGAGCAGCGCCTCGGGCATGTTTTTGACCAGCAGCGTGACCTGAGGGTGTCAGGGACCAAAACAAAAAGGGGGAAGGAGAGAGAAAGAGAGTGAGAGAGAGGAGGGAGGAAGGGAGAGCGCGGAGAAAAAGGATACACTGAACAAGCACAATTCAGCATGAGAACTGCCGGAGAGCTCCATTTGACGGCGAGAGCATGGCGGCTCATGTGCCCATGAAATCACGGCAGTGGATCAGAGGAGATGAATAAACAAACAAAACCAAAAATCCAGCTTCAAGTCTGACCTCATGCTCATATTTAGCCAGCAGAGTCTGGAGCGCTGGCAATGCCAGGTCGTGCACGAGCGTCTCGGCAACTTGCAGTATGGCATCTCCTTCCTGAAGGTCAAGATCAAGCTCTGGTGACACTGCCCCGATCATTGCAGGAACATCTGCGGGAAAGTTGAGAGCAACACCCGTCTCAGTGCGTCCAATCAGTTGTATGGGAAAGACGCCATTGATTCGACGTAGGATCACAAGGCGAGAGCCTGCATGGCTCTCTACATCACGCAAGGGTCCGCTCATGGGAACCGGCAAGGGCGCGCAGATGGCATCTCGTAGCAACGTGGCCACGAGACGATGCCGACCACCCCGCAGCACTACAAAACGAGCCAGGGTCGTGCATTTGCGCAGAATGGCAATGACCTGTTCAAAGGACATGGCTGAAACATCCGTATTATTGATGGCCATCAAGACATCATGGGCGCGCAAACGCCCATCGCGGTGGGCATTGCCGCCGGGGATGATTTGACAAATCTCAACACCAGACTGATGTGACTGGCGAGCTGTGATGAGAAAGCCCAGACCCTTGGTCCCTTGCTTCTCGACAAGGTCCTCACGAATGCGTTGAAGCGCGTCCAAATCCAGTGCTTCTTGAGCATTTGATGAGGCTATTGGTTGCTGGTCGCCGCTCGCACGATGGAGTTTGAGGGAGGAAAGAAGCGCTGCCCATTTCGAGGAGCCCAGGCGAAGCACGACCATGTCAAGCCGGCTCTCCTGAGCTTTGAGCACGGACCACGCTTCAGATTGTGTGCTACTGAGCAGAGACAGCGTCCCAACCTGTAGCACGCGGTCACCAGGCTGCAGGTCGCTCTTGACACTGGCCAATCCGTTGGGCTCGACCCGAGTCACAAAAACGGCACCTAGCTTGGTGTCGCTGCCACCAGCGATGTTGAAGCCCCAAGAACACTTGGTCTCGCGATGCAAAGAGATTGCATGCAAAGGACCGGACGTTTCTAGACCCCCGGAAGCCTGCGAGCGCTTGAGGCGCATGGCACGCAGGCGGCGAATGCCGTGCTTGTTGTAAGTACGATAGTCTTCTCGGTGAATCTCGCTTGACATTTTCTTCCACTGCTCGGCGCCCACTTGCATGACCAGCACGTGAATGCTATCTTTGGGAGCGTTACGCAGCAACTCTTGCACTTCGCCACGGGTCATGGAGATGACAGACACACCGCCGACAGCAACGAGGCGGTCACCCTGGCTCAACTTGGCATCACCGTGCCACACGTTGTCCGCACACTCATCCACAAACACGGCACCGAAGCTGGTCTCACAGCCACCCACGAGCTTGAGGCCAAAACTGCCGTGATGTCGGCGCAGCTAGCAACAACAATGAGGACATGACGAATGAGAAGCGAAAAAAACTAAAAGCACAGACAAGCGAAATTGCAATCTTTTCAAGCATCCCCGACTGTGAACATTGACAGACCTCAAAGTCCACCAAGTCGCCGGCTGTGGCGTGACCTGGCATTGGAAGAGCTGTAAGGCGAATCGCCTTTTCCGTTTGCGAGTAGATGAGCTCGTATTGGTTGTCAGCTAACTCTTGAACCAAAATGGTAATCAAGGGTGCACCGTTGGCTCGCATGACCTTGCGCACTTGAGCCTGCGGGGTGAGCAGCAAACTCTCGCCGTTCACCTCGAGGACACGGCTGCCAACGTGCAAACCAGCGCAATTGGCGGCTGCACCAATGGGGTAAATATGGGTGATGAACACGGCCCCGGCCTCTGTGTCGACGCCGCCGGCTACGCGCATGCCAATCTTTTTGTGCTCGGCACGGTTGAGCACAAACCTGCAACAAACAAAACAAATCAATACATCAAGGTTCAACGTGACACAAGTTCAAAGCGTGCAAGCAATAAGAACAAAAAAAAAAAAACATAAAAAAGCATGTGTCCCATGAATATAATGCGGGGCAACACCGCCAAGAGCCGAACACTCGTGTGATGGTGGAGACCGGTCAGTACAAAGTCAGGTACCAACCTGTGCACGGTGCCCGTGGTCACGCCATCTTTCAAATCAAACGTTGGCCCTCGAGGCAAAGCAATGCTACGGAAAAACTCAGTTGTTGGCACCTGGTATTGTTGGTACGAGAATGAAAACCGGTGTAAGTTCGATCAAGCCTGAATCGGGCCTGGTTCTTGGGCTTGTCAAACAATGACAACAACAACAACTACAACAATAACGACCACAACAACGACAACACACACACACACACACACACACACACACACACACACACACACACACACACACAGGGACAACACACACACACACAGGGACAACACACACACACACAGTCACACGGCCACATAAACATGCGACCACATTTACTCACCGTGCGGCCTGCATTGCGGTCCTCGATCAGGCGTTGATCAAGGTTCCGTGCCTGGCGACAAACAGCAACCCATTGGTCGACTGGCGTGCGAAGCACGACTAGCTCAGCGTGTTGGTGAATCTCGTTGAGAATGTTGATGGCCTCTTCGTGGGTGGCGCCAAGGAAGCTGGCACGCCCGGCGGCCAAGAGACGATCGCCCTTGCGTAATCCCAACATTGAAGCACGACTGTTGGGAATCATGGCCGACACAAAACAGCTGCCATGCGCGCTTCAATGGGTCAAAGTCACGGGCCATCCAAGGTGAGCAAGATAAAAGGACGCCGTGATAGAGGACCGGGGAGCACAAGGCAAATCAGACTGGAGTGTGAGCTGCCGTGAACGGAATGGAACGTACGTGTCTGACCCGCCAATGCACAAGAAGCCAAAGTGGCCATTGGCTTCTTTCTCATACTGGATGATTTGGAGCTCACCCGATGTCTGTACCAAAAACTTGCGGTACTCAAAAGGCATATGCTACTCCCCGAGAATCATACCAAAGGCATGCTCCAGTTGAGTGCCGGCGTGGCAGTTCCTGTGGTCATTTGCGCGAGCAAGGCAAGTCGCTATAGACACATTGTCAAACGCGTAACGTACATCGTGCGCAATGAGACTCGACATGGATCCATGTAAGCTTGAGAGGCGCCCGTAGGATCGAGATCGGCGCTCCGCCCTGCAAAGTACACACCCCAAATCAATGAGGGAACAAGCTGGTGTGAAGAATTGGCGCAGCAACGGAAAAGGACTTGGTGCAAAGGGTATTGGTATGCTAGCTTTTCCTTTTTTTTCTTTTTGTTTTCCCTTTTCTCGACAACACGCGCGTACCCAGAACCGGTCGGGTCCAATGGATGTCCACTTTTCTGCAATGACAAATAAGGGGGTGGGGAAGACGCGTGAGAAGGTTGAAAAGGAGGGTCAATGAAGATACCCGTGGCGGCGATGGGTAGGAGCACATGCTCTCACGCGCTCACGCAGATGCCACCACGGAGCAGAAAATAATGCCAAGAACGGTGCTGGAGTACCTTGCTTTGTTTGTTATTTTGGCGATGCAGAAGCGCGCCATGCAATTCAGTGACAACGCCGCTAGTTCCGTACTGTCCAGTGGGCAGGATGAGTCGGCCAGACGCGGAGGATCCGGTAGGTGCAGTTCCAGGACGAGTACGCTCAATCCCGGGCATCTCGTCAGAGGCATTGTGATAGGCATCCGGTGTTGCGGCTGAAAAACAGAAAGAGCATCAAAGATGGAATGGGGGTTGGGTGTATATGTGAGAATTGGGATGCCTGCTGCGGCTCACACATGAGGTGACGCTACTACGCACGGGGTTCCATGGAATAAGAGCGTTGGGTACCCCTGTTGGGGCGAAAATCGATGCTGTCGGTGCTGGTGCGGGCAGAGCTGGCGCGTGTGCCGGGATTGATACCGGTTTGAGTCTCAGGCCCAGAAGCGGGGGGTGAGCGTCCAGATGCGCTCACAGATTCGAGCTCCCCAGCCGCGGATAGCGGGCTCAGTGCGCGAGATATCATGTCGAGCGGAGAGGGCTCGCTTCCGCGCAGATCTGAAGAAAGGGAGAGGCTGGCCTGCATGGACGAGGCAGCTGACTCTGGCAGCTCGCGCACGGGAGACAACTATGGCAGACACAGCGGAATGAGTGTCAATGGGGCTTGCCTGACAAAAAGAGCCGAAAAACACGGCAAGGGGTCGCATGATAGAACATGAAAGTCAATCGAGGTTGCACAACGTACGCCGCGCTCAACCCAGGCCTGGCGAGGAGCAGCTTTTTGCGGTGCTGGATCTGTACTGAGAGAAGGGGTTGGGGAAAGCAAGGTGCTTGTGGTTTCCACGCTTGCACTCAACGTGCTCATTGAGCTCTTGGTTGCGGGCTGTCTGACAGGCTAAAGCAAAGGTTCCCAATCGCACGGGACAAGGGATGAGGTTGCAGATGGGAACAAGGCGGGGGAGGAAGGTTGGGTGCCTACCGCCACGGGAAGGCGACGCTTGCCGCGGGGGGTGGCGTTGGTACTGCTGGCACTGCTGGCGGAGGCTGTGGTTGGACGCTTGCGTGCAGGGGTGGCAGTGGTGGCAGTGGTGGCCGAATTGCGGTCGTTGTGGAGGGCTGCTAAAGGCTGCAGCTCAAACTCGAGTTCGGTATGGGCTTGCAAGATACCACGCATTGCAGACAGGCTCATGTTGTTTGTAGGTTGACCATCGAGGGAGCGAATCCACCAAGTCTGGCCAGGGGCGACAGCAATCTGAGCATCCTCGAGGTCACGGTTTCCCTCGCGAGGCACCAACACCAGATGGCCGCTTGGGGTGGCGACAGCCACGTCGAACCCCCAAGGCGTTCCGCTACCCGGGGCCGCACGCGAAGCATGCTGGCGAACATGAAGGGCCATGATGGTCATGGTCACGGATCTGTCGATGCGTTCTACCACAGGCGCTTTCTTGGCTTTTCTTCGCGCATCAACCCGAGTTTGCGGCTGCCTGGGGACCGTCAGGCGCGTCGAGCGTTGCAAGACTCACAGCTTCGGTCAAATCAAATGGTCGCGAATGACAGCTAACGATACCACGAGGGCAGAGGCGTGCAAGGGTCGAGCATAACCACACGTCTCCGAAGCAACCGCCTCCCTACATTCGGGTGCAAGGGATTCACAACACCGTACGAGCCGTGAAGACCACAGCCGATTGACATTGACCTCGGCGTGACACCAAGTCTCCGACTCCACGCGCTGGTGCTGCTGGTGTGTCAAACGACGCTCTCTCTCTCTCTCCTCTCTCATTCAATTTCTCGCTCTCTCTCTCTCTCTCTCTCTCTCTCTCTCTCTCTCTCTCTCTCTCTCTCTCTCTCTCTCTCTCTCTCTCTCTCTCTCTCTCTCTCAAGAGCGCGTGAAGTTTGTCAGCAAAAGTTAGTCTGATGTAACGTTGTTGTCAGAAAAACAAAACAAGTCACAGAACAGGTGGGCTCTTGGATTGCAGGCATGAGGGTGGGGCTTGATTCGATTTGACTCAAAAAAAAAAAGAAAAAAGAAAAAAGCAGAAATCGGTGCCAAAAGCAGGCCAAAACGCAAGCAACTTTCAACAAATGCATTCGCACAAGCCGTTGTGCCATCCCGCAACCACTAGCTAGGATAAGATTCAGACGAATACCAGTGGGACATGCAAACAGAAGAGAAAAGTTCATCTGCAAATCACTCTTGCCTATGGAGCAAAAGCTCCGAATTGGGTGTGTGCTTATGGGGCTCAGAACTCATGCAAAATCATCGTCGTGAGTATCCGATTCAGAGGACATTTGGCCATGGACTTCCTCTTCCAGGGAATCGTAGTCATCATCGTACTCCTCGTCCTCCTCCCGAGCGACAGCATCCATCACGTCATCGTCATCGTCCGTGTCATAGTCGGGGACCCGGTTGCGATCCAGTGCAGCAAGCCGGGCGTTTGCCCGTGTCTGCAAGCGATTGGACGGCGGAGCCGCGACCTGCTGCAGCAGCTCACGACCCTGGACCAGGTCACGCTCGATGCCAATCCCACCCAACAACACCTTGGCGCGAATGTAGCAAATGTATAGGTCGGCGTTGTCGGCCTCAAAGGCCATGCGTGACCAGTACTCGACGCGACGCCGATCCTCCTCCCGGGGGCTGTGCATAAACTTGAAGAGGCTATCCGCATAAATGGCCATACCTCGTGGATCACCCTGGCTAGCTGCCATCTGGCCCCAGTGGAGAGCAGCTGTCACGTGTGCACCCTCGAGGTGATCCACGCCCAGCTGCGTCATGGCCCGCTCGTGGCCCCGGTAGGCCAGTGTCTCAAGCACCTCCAGATCATCGTACTCGCCATTTTCGTAGTCGGTGAGCATGGCCACGTGGCCCGGAGTACCCAGGGACATGTACAATTCAGGTGGTACCGACCGGCCCATGTGTTGGCTGAGCATGTCCACAGCCGCTTCCTGGTTTCCTGCGTGCCAGAGGTCGCGGAGCAACGGAATAGGACGCGGTGCTACGGTAGAGGCCAGCATAAACTTGGACCAGTCACCGCGGTGGGTGCCCTCCGCGTCCAGGAGCTGTGCGAGGTTGCCCAAGACATGGCGCAGCGTATCAGCCAGGGGGCGGGCGGCCAGGGAGGTGTCCTCAATCCAGGCATGAGCAGTGTTCGAGGCCAAGCGCAGTTGTGCCTCCAAAATATCAATCTTGAGCTTTAATTGCTTGACAAAGTCCAGGCGCGAAGACGTTCCAGCGCGCCGATGCACAGCAAGCTGCTCCAAGACCACACGCATGGTGCGCATGGCACGTAGATCCCTGTCCGTCAGGAGCGCTACTCCCGCCTTCTGCGACGTGGTCGCCTTGACTTCGGGCTGCGCCGCCCCGGTAACTGGAACATTATCCCATGGAGCCGATCCAATCACGTCCTGGGCAGCTGGCCCTGCATTGGGCTCGACTGACGCCACACGGCCATCCGAACTTACACGCTTGGCGCGCTTACGGGCCTGGCCGTTGTCATCCGGGCCAGCGCGCAAGGTCGCGCTGGCTTTTTGGGCAGATGAGCCCCCGGTGCCCGAGCGGTGAGTGGCCGCAGTGCCGTGCAAGCTATCCACGACGGCGAGATATTGTTGGAGCAAACGGTGGTAATGGGGGCGAGCCACGTGCTTGACAAATTGGGAAAGAAAGTTGTCAAGGTCTAAAAAGGCGCCAAACCGGCCCACGGCCACGTCATTATTTACAAGCTGGGTCACGCGACGCAGTTTGTGTCCAATTGTGACAAGAGCCAAGGGGTGACCAATGCCGGCAGCCCGTGCCAAATAACCGTTGGCTTCCTTCAAGAGGCTAGCGTCCTGCTCCTGGGGCAGGAGGTTGCGTTGCACCACCTGGAAAAAGCCCACGGCGGCGTCTGCGTCGCCTTTGCGAATTTGTTTGCGCATGACTTCAAGCGTCTGCTTGGCATTCTTGAGGCTGTGATTTGCTTTGAGACGAGCCATGCGCCGTCGCAGCTCACGGTTCGTGGCGGCTGATCGCTGGAGCGCTGCCTCGGCTTGTTGCTGTTCGTCACGCGCCGTCTGGGCCTGCCGCATGAGGAAGATGACATCTTCTTCCAGTTGCTGCAGGCGGCTGACCAGGTGAGAAGGACATGAATGCTCGAGGAAATCACGGCGGCGCAAGCGAGCCCCACAGCCTTCAGGGCAGTAGACGAGCATTTCAGGGCAAAGCGCGTCAAGGTGACGCTTAAGTGTATCCTCTGTCAAATCATCAGCACGGCATCCGTTGGGGCATTTGAGCCATCGATACTTGCAGCTTTTCTAAAGATATCAAAAAGGCACAACAAAACAGAAGAAAAGGTCGGCCACGCGCAAAGGAAGGAGGGCTTAGGGTGAATTGGAGGCGTATGTGGGCAAGCATGTGGTGCAAGTGTGTCGGTTTGAGAGCAGTGAAGAAGGCGGCCTGACCTTATGTTTTGCGACTTCCTGTGCAACACCTGAAAAGTCGCAGCCAGCGTGCGGACATTTTTCGACGCGCATGGTACAATTATTGGCGAGGTGATCATCAACTTCGGTGACGCGGATGACGGCTGAACAGCCATGCTCGGTGTGGGGGCAGCACATGGTAATTTCGCTGGCAATTTGGACTAGAGCACGGTTTAAGAGAATGCCGCTGGCGATGGGCATCATGGTGGCGCGGCAGCTGGGGCAAGTGTCGCGGGTCTCCAAGGCCATGGCAAGACACGGTCCACCAAAGAGTGCCTGGCAGCTGGCACATTGATACGGTTTGGTCGCCAGCTCGAGGCAGATGTTGCACGTCAGGTTCTCGACTGAGAAGGTCGACTTGACATATTCTTTGGGCTGGCACGCGGGTGAGTGCTTGAGTTCTTCTAGTGACTCGACCATGTCGTCTGGTCAGAGCGTCCAAACGCGACCACAATCTGTGCCCCAGTCGAAGCGCCAAAAAGTCAAGGGGCAAGCACCGAATCAAAAAAAAAAAAAAAAAGTGTGTGTGCTTGGAAGAGTCGTCCGCTCGGTTGAGCGCCAGGTCCGGATATGTGGCCCTAACAACACGAATATGACAGAGTGGTGGCAAAAACAGGAGTCCAGAAGCTGGACCCCAGAGCTTCAAGGCCTTGCTAGGAAACTTCAGATGTGAAAATGCATTCACTCCTGCCTCGAACAAGCCCCAGTACACCAGTTGGCGCCCGTTGCGATTGCCACGAGGTCCAATGTCGTCGGCCGTCGATGAGGCAGACCGCCCAAAGCCGCTAAGCAGACATAAAGTGAGAAAAATGAATGATTTTTTTGAGAGAGAGTGGCCTTGGTTACTGTCATCAACGTGGTGGCCATGTGCTTTTCTTCCTCTGGTTTCTATCGAGTTCTCAGTTCTTCACTGACTTCGCCATCATTCTTTTCGCTTGCTGCTTGCTTGCTTTCTTTCTTTTTTTCATTTCTTTCTTGACAAGGGCAGAGGGTTGTGGGGGAATCCGACTGACAATCCTATTCGGAGGAGGAACGTCCTGGCAGTGACGGGTGTGCCGACTCAAGGTGTACGTGCAATGATCACGGCAACGGCTGGAGGCGAGCTGCCATGACAAAGGTGAGCAGCAACTATTGCATCTAAATTCGGGTCGAAAAGTAGGTAGATGGGTTTGTAGATGGGTAGGTTTTGGGTCACGCTAGGCCGTGTCGGTCTGTTCGAGGATCACAAGAATAACACCAAAGATTAAAAGCACAAAGCCAAAGCCGGCCAGGATTGAAGGCCCAAGCCGCTGGCCCTTATACCATCGATCTCCTTCCAGAAGGATGGCCCCGGACAAGCCTGCCAGCGCGAGCAGAATTGACATGTTAGAACAAACGGGCTGCGCAAGTTACCACTGGACACCTGAATACCCATGGGCGCAAAAGCTTACCAGGAAGGATAAACGCAATCAAGTTGGCATTGACGATACCATTGAGCTATGGGCCACAGACCCATCAGCCACACCAAAGTGAGTGCGGGAACAAGGCATGGGTGTTTGAGAGCCTCTTTTTGTGCTTCAAGGCACCATCGCCCTTCCCAGGCACAGACGTACCTCCAGCACCACTCCTAGATCCTCAAAAATCATCGAGACGGACATGCAAAACAGACAAATTCCCGCCGACACGGTATAGTGTCGCAAGTCACTCGGAGGCTGCTGCTCCGAGAAGAAGTAATTCTCAATAACCTCGCGCGCAACAAAACACTCGATGGGATACGTCAACATGATAGCGAGAGCAAAAAAGAATCGCGCCGCGTTGGCTGCCGAGTTGTCGTCCGCAAAGTTGTCCAGCACGTCATCTGGTCGGGCATTGCCGGCACATGGGCATGGCAGTGATCCGTGCGATTGTCAGGATAAGCAAAGCATGCTGGAACTCATTTGTACCCTCAGTTTGTGCGTAGTTATCGAGCCCACCTTTGGTTTCGTGTCCGAAAGGATAGAATCCGCCCACGCCCAGAGCGATGCTCATGGTGGCCGCGACCACAACAGAAAGGTGGGTCACCTTGGCAAATCTGGGTTTGACATTGAGCATGAGACTGGGCAGCAGGCGCAAACGAGACAGCGGGCAGCCTGCTCTCCCGGAAGAAGGGGGCCGATCTTCTTACTTTTTCATCGAGGTATCCTTGAGCGAGGCATAAATCAAAAAGGCGTTATGATGCATGACATAGGCAAAGGCCATGACGCCGATCGCCTAAATTTGTGGTTAGATGTGAGGCAAGGGCGAAACAGCCCTTGATGGGAGTTCTTGGCTCCGTGCTCACCACCAGCGATCAAGTGATACGGCGGATTACTACCTGCACAAAGTGGGGCTGGAAGAAAGAGTCAACATTGCCACGGTTGGGCGGGTGCGGTACCCGTGAACCTGCAAAGCAGCTGCCAATGAGATGGAAACGCAGGAAAATCCGTGTCAACTCTTGTGTGATGGCGACTGGAGCCAACCTTCGATAATCACGATGAGGACCAAGACGCACACGCCAAAGAGCGCAAGCGCCGACCAGCGGGCAAGCGACTCGAGGCGCTACAACAGGTTGGACCAGAAAAAAAAAATCAGGATTGAGGTAGCACAGGCCGTCGTCAGCCGGCGGGCGTGCTCAGACTCTTGTATTCTTTTGCGAATGGGGTCGTACCTTTTGCATGGAGAGCGGCATCATCAGGACCAGGGTGAAGATGGCAATGACGGCATGGCGATCGTCCAAGAAGCTTTGGCCCCAAATGGCGTGAAACACCTGTTTTTCAAATCAGACGAGGATAAGCGGTTGGCGCAGGCCAGCACTTCAAAGACCCGGCGTTGGGGGATGCCTGCCAGCGTGGGCAGGAGCGACGCTGTGCAAGCCCACCTTGGGCAATGTCTGGCCCACGATGATGCCGTAGGCAATCATTCCAAAGATGGGGAAGAAGAATTGGCCAAAGGAGAGAGCATTGAAGCCCCATTTGCCCGTGGCCACCAGCACCATGTCCTGATAGACGGGTTTGTTACAAGCAAGCCCGCTAGCCACGAGCGTTCGCACACTAAAGTCGGTAATGTATCCCATGATCACAATCAGGCAAATACCAAAGCCAAAGCCGGCCTCGCGAAGCGCAAAAGGCATGCCTATCCAAGGCGAGCGCCAAAGTTCATCGTTTACACGTGGTGAGGCTCGCTTGTGTGGATGTGGAGGATGACGGTGGGAGAGGAAAGGGTGGGATGGGCAAAAAAAAGAAGGAAGAGTGCAAGCAAGCAGCACCCTCGTACCAATGATTCCAGCACCCACAATCGAATTGATCATGTTGGCTGAGGCTCCGGCCAGCGTGCTAGTACCGTTATTAACCTTCTCCAGGATCGTGACACCCTAAGCATGAGTTGGTCAAGTGGTCAGCAATCGCAGGCACGGGAAAGGCCCAGGATCGTGGGGCAATCCCGCCGAATGCGCTCACATCCTCGCTATCAGCAATGAGAAACTCCTCCATAGTGCTGCCGCTGCCGCCACCCACAAAAGAATCTCCCCCCTATGAGGACGACGGAGCGCAAGGAGCGGGTGCAAGAGGTGCGTGCCAGAGCAGAGGTTAACGATTCACGCCTCGGGAACTCAGGGGGCACCCCCCAGCCAGTCGATTCTTTGTCACGAAGTGCAGGCAGGCCTACGTAGGCATCATCGAGGTAGAGGGTGTGTGCTGCAGGGGCGACGACATGGTCGGTGCTTGATCCCTGACGCTCGCCCAACTCGGGCTCGCGGAAAGCCTCAAAGGGCGATTGCAATGAAATGTCTCCTTCAAGCCTGAAAGAAAAGGGCGCAAAAAGAGCATCAAAAAAAGAATGGCAGGCCGATTGGTCGATGGACGAAGATCAGAATCCATACGCCATGTTTGAAGCAGGGAAGAATGTGCTGATGGGGGTGAATGTGTGTTAATGACTTCCACACGATGGCTCAGCCATCTACCCTACGGATCGGGCGGTCACGGCGAGCAGGGGGCGCAGGTTTGCCATGAGTGTGTGGGTAGTGCGATCTTTCGCGTATGCTTCCAGCCCGTGTTCAAGGACCACGGCCTTGAGAAAAACAAAGCCAAGAGTCCCATTTGCCGCGATCGACTGACAAGCATAGGCGTGCCGAGTACTGTGGCAGCTTGGCAATACTACATCGAAAGGCGATGGTGCATGAGAGGGCAAAATCATTCAGCAAATCCGTTTGGCAGTGCGAGCGAAGAAGCAGCAGCAGCAGCAGAAGCAGAATGACACATGACACCCAGCGAAAACAAATGCGATCCGAGCCTTTTTGCCTCTCTCCCACCCACAACCTCTGCCTAGCAACTCCAGTCCATATCCAGCCCCCATCCCCCAAACCGCAACGGTCAACACACCAAGAGCGATCCTAGACACACCAGCAGTCGCGACAGCTCCGTCCGCCGCCCCTCCCAGCAAAAAAAAAATCGAGAGAGAGAGCGCAGCAAAAGAGAGGAGAGAGAGAGGCTTTGCCCCCACTGTTTTTAACCTTTTGCGCCCTATTTGTGCTGGGAGATTGGTGGCTTCATTTTCTCCGTATTTTCATACATAAACTTTGCTTGACTTTACACTGATATCAGCATTAATATCGTAAACGTCGTCATCTAACCGTGTGACAAAGGCGTAATGTGAACAAAGATGAAAAAACATCAATTGCAATTTGGGGGAGGCTAATTTACATTCGACGGATTGTGGTCCAAAGTTGGCTTTTTGCACTCTCTTGCGTTTCTCTCTCTCTCTCTCTCTCTCTCTCTCTCTCTCATTATTTCCCAATCGCGCGCACGGACACCAGAGAGGCGAGTGAGGGGGCGGGGGCGTGAAAAGGGCACTACCTGAGAGGTTGACTTGGTCAAGATGCCAGAGGCTGGGGTGGTGATTGGGCCAGACGCCATGGCGGAGGGTGCGGTGGTGCCGATGGCGTCGGCGCCGCCGACGTGTGATATCTGCATGGAGAATCACGTCAACATCTCCCTGGATTGTGGTCATCAGGCCTGCTCGGCTTGTGCTTGTGCAGCGTTTTGCAACGATATCGCCCGCAGCTTCGTTCCGGTGCCCTGGTCGGTTCTCTCGCCCCTGGTGCATGCAGCCCTGCCTCTTGCGCTCTGGTTTGAGACGCTCATCTTTCTCCTCTCTTCTTTGTCTCAACGATACAGCTTTGGATGCTCGGCCGAGGTTCCTTTGGACATTGTGTGCGAGGTGCTGCGCGATCGCCCAGACATGCTGGAGAAAATGCAAATCTATGGCCTTCGCCGCGCTTTGCAACGAATTCCCGATGCTCGCTTTTGTCCCCATCCCAATTGTTCCTGGGCCGTCATTTGCACCAAGCGCTTCCTGCGACGACGAGGTCCCATCCAGTGCCAAGTGTGCCACCACGAGTTTTGCTTCAAATGTCGGCAGCCCGCCCACCCCGGGGAGCCCTGTCAGTACCACGACGCCGAGCACACCAAGCCTTGTCCGACTGTACGTCCTGCCCAACCCGTTGACGCCAGGCTTGGTCCCAAAAACTATCCCCAACTAATGGGCCGGCTTGCGATCTCGACCACCTGCTGCCCACAGTGTGCCACTCCCATCTTCAAAGTGGATCCAGAGAGTTGCAATGCCATCAGCTGTACCATTTGTCGGTGTGTACCCAACCTTGCACAACCCTTGCAGGACCCAGAGCAACAGGCTGGTGGCCCACCTGCATGCCTAGTCTGCAGGCCACTTGCAGCCAGCGCCCTTCTGACCTCATGCCGGCACTCTCATGCCCCCTCTTGTAGGACCGAGTTTTGCTGGCTTTGTGGCAAACGACTCTATACGCACGGCCTGAGCCACTACTTTTCGTTGGGAGGCTGCACCATGTATGGTCGACAGCGCTGGAACCGGGAGAAGATACAAGCCTACCGGCGGTCGGCTCCAATCACCTTTCCACTGGTCCTGGCGGGTGCTGCGGCCATCGTGCCTCTTTCAGCGGCCCTGACGCCCATTGCCGTGATGGTCGAAGATTGGCGCACCAGCCGCCGTATGGAACTATCACGGTTGCGAAGGTACCTCGGCCGTGTGCATGAACTTTCACTCGGGTGTGACCACGGGTGGTCTTCTCGGTTTACTCACGTCTCCCTGTGCCTTGTATTAATGACTGCCCCATCACCATTAGATTTTTCCGTGCTCTGGGCTATGGCCTTTTGAGTCTCATCATTCTCGTCCCGGTAAGTAGACTTGTCGGTTCTGCTTCGACCTTGCTGCTGCCAGCTAATATTGCCAAACATCATTGATGTGGCACATCAGGGCGCCACGGTGGGCTTGGCGTGCTTTGCCGTTCGGGGAGCAGTCTTTGCCTACATCCAGCTTCCTGTTGAAGAGGTTTGCGTCTGCGCGCCGGCACATGTCTTCCCTGCGCGCATCAAGCTCATGCATTGTGCACTGGCCTAGGTGTATGCTCTTGCTCTCAAAGGACGTCAGTGTTGTCTGCCGCGCCCCGACCCTGACCCTGAGGCCAACGCCGTGAGCTCAGAAAGCCAGTCTGATATCATGCCCACACCCGAGCTGACGTCGACTCCGGTCCCAGCCGCAGCACCAACCCCGACCTCAACACTTGCCATTGCAAACCAGCCGCATTCAGTCGAGATGGACTCGGTGGCTTGAGTCGAACACCGGCCCATAAACTCACTAGCCAGCAAGCCCCTGAGCGCCTTCACCTTTGTGGGTGGGGGCTTTGTTCAACCCTTTTTTTGTTTCAGATTCACACGCTGAGCATGACTGTATGAGACCCACCGGGTTCCCTTGTTTCATGACTTCTCAGGATCCACTCCTGGCTTCGAAAATCATCTCCAAAAGGGGGAGGTGGCGATGGTTGTATGTGGCGCATCGCATGTTGCTGCCGTTTCAATGTTCATGCATGATGACCCACCCACCATGTCTTTGTATACGCTCCGTTCCATCACTATGATTATGACATTGTATTTTTTAGACATCATCATCAAAATCAGATCCATAACCTAGAGTTTCCCGCCAAAAAGCTGCTGTTTTGTCGACAATTCACGGACAGACACAAAGTCACATGTCAGTCAGTGTGAGAAGCAGTTTTCTCATCTGACCCGTCGAGCACACAACAAAAGGCAGGGCGTGGCTGTGCTTCATGCAGAGGCAAGAAGGCTGCTGGGAGAGTCCAACTTTGTGGTAGCAGACACGGGCCAAGCCTCGCACTGGAGTCAGTTACCCTCCTCGATATGGCGACCCCCTCCAACCCGCTGCAAGCCCGCCCCCGTGCAGGGCGCCGAGGCTTGGCGCGGTTTCGTCATAGTTCAGCATCCACCACAACAACACCCGCCAGCTCCATGGCATCCTCCAATATCGGCGTTGCGATGCCGTCGCCTGCGCGTGAGCCCGCCCCGCCCCCCCGCCATGCCACCAACTCGTCCGCAACCGGGCCCCATGCCCCGGTAGCCAAACGACCTCTGCTTGCCCTGCAGGGGGATCCTGAGGACACGGAACCCGACGAAGAACAATACGCAAACGAGGTGGGAATCAATGTCTGCTCTCGTCCGATGGACCCATGACATGGATCTCCGCGATTAACCGTCTGAATGTGGAATGTAAATGCTGTCGACCAATGGACCAATGCTATCTTAACCATCCCTGCGGGCGCTAGATTCACGTGACTCTATGGGTACATCAGTCCCACATGACTATGGCAGCGTATTACACGGAAAGCCAATTGCTCGAGGGCTACCAATGCTCCCCCTTCAGCCGCAGCCTCCTCCAAAGCCTCTTGGTTGCCTACAAGCCCATTTGCATTTACACCAATGCCGGCAATGCCAATCTTGCCAAAGACCTGGCCAGTGAAAATGCCCAGGGTGAGTGCCTTGTGAGAAAGGCCTGAAGCTCTGTCCAGCAAGTACTCCTCCGCCCTCATTCATACATTGGCATTGCTGGCAACCTTGAACTGTAGATGGATCTGGTCGGCAGAGTGCGGTGCGTGTCATTCCAAAGATGGATTTGGATGCACGATCGGGCGAGCGCGTGCTGCAATCTTCTTTACCAGCCTCCAGTGCTAACCAGGCTGCACTCGCCGCCCTAAAGCACGAAGATTGGCGCACCGTTGGAGTCCTAGGTGCTATGCTTCGTGAGTTTGCTTGCTGCCAGCTTGCGTGCCTGAAGGGAGGGCTCAGTTGAGAGCTTACTGCCAAATCGCGTAGGCCAATGCGAAAAGCACCGCATCGGAGCTGAGTTAAGCCTCGAGCAGCCCTCACTGCGCCTATCCAGTCTGCGCTTGCGTGCATTTCCAAAAATTATGTTCATGGACGCTGATTGTTTCAGGTGTGGGCTCGTGTGTGCTTTGCGATGTTTGTAACTTTTTTTGCTGGCTCAGTCAACGGTCTTTGATATTGGTGTAGTGCACTGGCCATCTTCAGCCGCGAGTCCCATCCTTCCTCCTTCAAAGCAGGGGGCTGCAAGGAAGGTCTGTCGCTTTTTGGCATGATGAACTTTACCAAGGTACGTCTGCATCAGGTCGTGACAGTAACACTGCGGTTCATGCTAATGCCACTCTGGCCCTGCAGACGCCCATGGGTACTCGGTAGGTCTTTAAGACAATACTATTTGCAATTGTCACTGCCAGCTTGATGGGATCACCTGCATTCACGCTCACTACTGAGCCTGCAGCTTGCTGCGCACATGGTTTCGGCAACCGTTACAGGATCAGGTGGTCCTGGACCAGCGTCACGACATTGTCAGCGCACTGGCAAGCCCGGCAGCAACTGACACGCTCAATATGCTGCGAAATCAACTGCGTGGCGTCGCCAACCTGATGGTGCGATAACCAATCCACGCGAGCTACTCGGCTGGGAGCGCAGCACGGTAGATTGTCGGCGGCTCTCAAGTTCTCACCAAATTCTGGTCGGGCGCTTGACACCTGGTTGTAGCCCATCTTGCGACGCATGAGCGTGCGAACGGTGGAAGTGCGCGACTGGGCCCGCCTTATCAAAGCAAGTCGATTGTACAGCACGACCCTTGTCATACTTGGTGATCTTGGCGTTTGACTGTCGCGCTCGCGCCTGACTAAAACGAACGAATGCCAGACCATAGAAGCTCTGCTCCAGATCAAGCATCTAGTCATTGCGCGCACGCTCCCTCACCTCATGGTCAAAGTTTGTGCAAGACTTGGGTTTGCTGCATCCGAACGAGGCGATTGATCTCCAAAAGAGAGTTTTTCATGGTCGGGTTGCCGTACATTCTTGGAGTAGGTCTGTGATGGCGTTGTCGATGCCATTCAGAACATCGCCGATGCAGTGACACAATTGGTGCGATCCTGGTAGTTGGCGTTGTCGCACCGCACTGTGCAAGGCGTGCTTCTCTGACGTATTATCTGCGCAGGTCGACTTTCAGTTGAGCCGAGACATGGGGCGCACGTGTGTTCGCTCCGCCGTCAACGCCAGTATCGACGACAGTAGGTCTTGAGACGCTTCGTACCAAGCCTTCGTTGCAATAGTTGCGCACCATCTTGACGGCACCTTCTTGGTTGTGGCATTGCTCGGATAGTGCGTCTCTTTATCAATGGCATGGTATGTTTGGATTGGCCAGCATCAAAAACCCAGCAACATGCCAGGTTTAACGTCGCTCTGTGTGTGTTTGTGTGCGTGCGTGCGTGTGTGTATATATATCACTGTGAGTCCAGTCTGAGCGTTTGAATCAGGTGGCACTGACGATTCGAAGCGAGCTCCCAAGCACCATCGACCGCTACTCTGTCGAGTATATTCCAATGGTATGCCATACAGCTCGACGCCCGTGAAAGGAAACCGATGCTGCGCTTTGGGGGCTAGAGTCATTGCATTGTGATGCCATCGCAGATGGGCTTCCTTCTGGTGACACCCCAACATGCCGGCGAACTTCAAGCCGCAGACGACTTAGAGCAGAAGGTGAGCCTACACATATGCGTGGATGGGCTGCAACACCCCGAAAAGGCGTGGCTCCTTGATATGTCTTCGTCCACAACAGTTTGAAGCAGATGGCAGCGTCTACTACAAAACAGCGCGGATGCATGCATTGGATCAAGAATTTGGCGATGTGGAGTGTGATTTGCGTGGTACTGGTGACTGCTTGCACAGAATCCATGGTGCCAAACCTGGCTGTCGCTCGCCCACTTCTTCACAACAAATGAGGTTGTTCACAACCGTAGATTTGGAAAACTCCCTGCTTCTTCGCTTACAGCAGCAAATCGTGCAGGACGCTGACGACTTGCGTCGTGGACTGGACTTTGCGGCCGAACTTGATGCGTACGTCTGCGTATCGGGGCAAGGTGCAAAATGAAAGCAAGCAAAGACACACGCTGAAGCTCACGAGTTGTTCTTGGCAATCAGATACTGCTCTTTGGCGCACGCCGCAGCAGTGTTGGAACTGCGGCGACCCAGCATGGGAACTGTACACCTGCATATGGAGGCTGCATGGTAAGAGCCGTACGCCGTGCTCAGCGCTTGCTTGTTCAATGAGCCATGTAGCACGAGCTCAAAAAATTCGCCACCTGCATTTCGCGATGTCTTGCCGGCCAGGCACCCGCTCCTTGCACAGCTACTCCCAGGTCAATTCTTGGCCAACGGCTGCTCGATAGAGCCCTCTTGCCAACGCGTTCAGGTTATCACGGGACCCAACGGCTCGGGCAAGGTGTGTGCCACCAAAAAGATGTGATGTGGTGTCGACTGTTGATTCAACAAAGCCACGGCGATGCAATCATGCCTCAGTCAGTGTTTTTCCTCATCGACTACGCTGCCAAATCACTTCCCATTTTTTCAGAGCGTGTATCTCAAGCAGGTTGCACTGGCTGTATACATGGCACACATTGGCAGGTGTGCCACGCTGGCATCAGCGACACGCTACGATGTTCATTGCTCACAACTTGCTATCGCCAGCTTAGTGCCGGCAACTCGAGCCAAAATTCCCATTGTGGATCGTATTCTCACGCGCGTGGCCACGCGCGAGTCGGTACGTGCTAAGTCCATTGCGCCGTTGCCATCCCAAGTTCATTCAAAACCTGACTCTTCTCTGCTGAAAACTGCGCACATTTGCGGTGCCTTCCTAGCTGACATCAGCAGCGTCTAGCTTTCATCTCGATGTGCGACAAATGGCCAAGGCGCTGACACTGAGCACGCCGCAGAGCCTGGTTGTGGTGGATGAGTTTGGCAAGGTGGGGGTTTGCTGTGGCGACACTCGGGTTTGAAGCACCATAACCCGATTGGCTAAGTGCAGTCGACGCTTGCTACACACAGGGTACCAACCCAGATGACGGGGCAGCGTTGGCGGCGGCTGTTCTGCGTGCTTTTGTCATGCGTGGGCCCGAATCCCCAATGGTACTTTTCACGACGCACTATTTGGATATCGTCAAGCGTCGTCTTCTCCCAGACAGCCCACTTGTGGCTTTGAAGGTCTGTACGGCGTGAGACAGTTTTGCTGTGTCTGGGCAATCGACAGACGTTTGACCTGTCATTGGGCGTTTTTGCATCTTGATGTTGTCATGCCCTGGATAGTGCATGCGGTACATCTTGCCACGCGACGCCCAACACGAGGACGACATCATTCCCTTGTTTCAAGTGCGACTCATTTCTCGATTGATTGATTGATTGATTGATCGATCGATTGATGTCAAACTCGGGGGATGAGTTTGTCAACAAAGTGCCAACTTGGCTGTGTGACGCATCTGGCAGGTGGCCGAGGGCGTGGCCGATAGCTCCAATGCGTGCGCCATGGTGCTGGCGGCGGGCATCGACGAGCCGATTGTGCAGCGCGCCAAAGAGGTGAGCAGTCGTTGCGTATATGACTTCTTTAAATGCAATTGAGCGAGGCGCATTGGCAGAGCATAAAAAAAAGACAGTCAGGTCACTTGAATGTTGACTGCGGCCAGATGTGGTTTTGCGATTCACGTCTCAAGCTACACGCACATATATGCGTGTGATACGAGCGCGTGTGCATGTGTCCTCAAGTCCATCATGCAAACATGCAATCGACCTGGGTGCTAGATTATGGAACGCCTGCAACGCGGGCTGCCACTTGAGCGGCGCTGGGGGCCGGGTTTGGCTCGGCAGCAAGAGGTCTGCGCGACCATTGTCCACGAGGTGAGCCGCTGGGTTTCTCACTCGTCGACAGGAGGCGTTCCGATGCATGATAGATTCGACCACATGATACGGGTCAGCGCTCTCATGCCTGCTCCGTCATTCATCGAAATTGGCGAGAGGTAGTTGAGGCGGCTGAACCTGAACACGCCAGAAGCGTGTCGCCGCTTTTTAACCCGTGCAACTGGGCTCTGGCAGAGCCAGCTTCCGCTCGACGCAGGCAACTAGCTGGTGTCAGCATCCTGGGGCACACATGGCAAGCCAAAGTGGCCGAGGTCACTTGGGCAAGAGCTTGGCATGTTTCGGAGGCTGTTGGTCCTGCTGCAGGGCCTGTTCTTTCCAGCGCTTAATCTCGAGCTTGGCAGTTTTATACAGACAACTGATGTTGCGCTTGAGTGCGGTATTTTGCTCCTCCACTTGGCTCAGCTGAGCCAAAAAAAAAAAAAAAAAAAAAAAAAAAAACGGTACCATGAGAGCCTTTCCTCTCCTCCACGAATCTCGGTGGACAGAATGAGCATACGAGCAGCCAGTGCTGAGGAACGGGGCTACCCACCTTTTCCTTGAGTTCATCGCGCTCAGTCACCGTCGATTCGAGCTCATTTTCCAGGGCGTGTACGCGAGCTTCCAGCTGTAGTCAACAATTGAGGTGATGAGCAAGCATTGAAAACAGAGAATAAAGCTCGGCCAGGCATGGTCACACTCACCTCTGCCCTGGACGTTGGGCCAGCAGCGGCGGAGACCAGCGTCACATCCTGCTGACCTCCGTACAGCAGATCAAAGTCCTCATCAGCCATGATGAGTGGGGTTGTGTTGAGCACCAATGCAAATGAACAACAGTTGTTGTCGGCTCTCGGATGTCAGATGTCAATGTCAGCAATTTGATCCCGTTTGTGGCACGGGCGACAACCCTACTCACTTTCAATCGGAAGCAGCTGTGCCACCGTGTTGTGTCGTCTTCTTCTACGCCGCCTCTGTGTATTGGCACTTGGCAGTGGGCTTTGACGATCGCTTTCCTGTGCCATGCGTCTTAACTTCCCTCTGGTGCCACGCACTGTGGCCCTATGTGTGGCAGGATGCTTTTTGTGGCTGTTGCTGCTGCCGCCGCCGGGCGCATTTGGCCTGGACAAGATCCATGGTGACGCCAACTCGCGTCACCTGTATGATTCGGATGGGCGGACCCGGTTCTTTCATGGCATCAACTACGTGATCAAAAGCTTCCCTTGGTTAGCCTTTTAGGTCCCGGCGGTGGGCTTGACCATTGTTTTGCGTTCAGTACCAGACCATGTCTGACCCAGTGTCTCATGTCTTGTCGCAATCAGGTACCCAACGGAGTTGCTCAACCGAACACATGTGGCGGCGCTGGCCGAGGCAGGGGTAAACGTGATTCGTCTGGGTGTCATGTGGAGCGGCGCACAGCCCACCTCAAACGTAGGTGGCGCGACTCATCGTGGTGCCGCCTAAACTTGCTCATGCGCTCCTCGTCTACTCGTCTGCGTATAGTCAAGCTAACACGTCGCCCGCGGATCCACCTACCCATCTCTGCATCATAAAAACAGGGATTCAATCAAACTTACTTTGATCAGATCCGTGCCATTGTCACGACGCTGGCCGACTATGAGATCTACACCTTTTTCGATATGCACCAGGACGGTTTCAGCAGCCGCTTCTGCCTCTATGACGGCATTCCCCTGTGTAAGGCGTTCGAGCAAAGCGTGTGTGCAAACATGGCTCTATTATTTCTCAATTATTTCTCAATCGCAAACCTGCGGTGCTGTCGTCAATTTTGATGTTGTTCTCCCGACCATTCTCGTGTGCACGCTGGCTGGTGTGACAGGGGTGGCCAATCGGTCCGTCTCGCGCCACGCCTTTCCGTGGCCACTGAGTGGCGACTGCAGCAGTCGTCCCTGGGCTGAAAATGAGATAACCGAGGCTTGTGGGCAAGCTTATCAGGATCTGTACGACAACCACGCCGGCATGCGTGATGACTATGTGGCCTTTTGGGTGGAGACGGCCCGTCAGTTCCGCGACCTTCCAGTTTTGGCCTATGAGCTGATTAACGAACCCTTCGCCGGCGATATCTACGCCGATCCGTTACTGCTTCTGCCTGGTGAAGCGGGGGCTAAGAACTTGCAGCGCTTGTATGATGCCGTAGCCCCTGCCATTTATGAAGTGGACCCCACCGCCCTTCTCATGTACGAGCCCGTGACTTGGGGCATGGTAAGTGCACACCGCCTTGCACGGGAGTGTTTGCACTTAAGACAAAGGCTGGACTTTTACGTACTCGTGAGCGAGGGCTCGAGCCTTGTCGCCTTGGTATCGACGACCCTTGTGCTGCGTGCTGGCATAGATTTTCAACAACACCATTGTGGGGTCGGGTTTCGAGCACGTCCCGGGGGGCTCCGTGCACTCCAATACAAGCATCCTGAGCTTCCACCTCTACTGCTGGTTGTACGACATTGGTGCCGGTCAGCCCAACAATCTGCGCCGCGAGGGCTGCGAGCAACTCTTTGATCCGCAGGTGTTTGAGGCCGTTTTACACGACATTGAGACGCTGGGCGGCTCGGCTATGCTGACCGGTGGGTGCAAGCAAGTGACGCCCCATCTCGTGCCTTAGCCCAAACCAATTTCTTTTTTTTGTTTGGTCTCAGTCGAGTCTTTTGTTCTTCTTCTCACGACGTACGGGCGCAGAGTTTGGAGCCACTACATGCGATGTGGATCGTGGAAGTGGTCGCGAGTGTGGGCGGATCATGGACCTGGCCGATCAATACGGATTTTCTTACACCATGTGGCCCGCTGATGAGGGTTACTCCGATCAAACCGGCTGGAACGTATCGTTTTACCGCGCGCAGGGCTACGATCGACCTCTGGCCGTGGCTGTGGCTGGGGAGGTGACGACTCTCGCATTCAATCACACGGCCCCAGATGCTCGCTTTGAGCTCTGTTTTGAGCCTGACCCCAAAGTCACGGCTCCAACCATCTTGTACGCCAGCACTGGCTACTATCCGCAGGGGCCAACGCTCAGCATTCCCCCGGGTTTGACGGCGGTTGTCAATGGCACAACCGTGACCATCAGTCACGACGCAAACACAACCGTTCTCATGGATACACCTGCTTGCGTGGTCATGACCTCGTACTGAGGCATCGAGTCAAAACATCAATTTAATCGGCAAACAAACAAGCTTCCCATTTTGTCTTCTTTCCCTTTTTTTTTATTGATTTTGATTTTATTATTTTTCGGGGGGTTTTTAATGCGTCCTGAATGCCCTGACTTGAGCAGAGGGCAAGCTGAGACGTGTGTGAGCGCAGCTCAACGAGTTTGGGCTCAACGAGTTTTGGACTCGATGGAGCTAGCTCGCGGTTTGATCTGAATCTGATCCAATGGCGCTTGGCGATCACAGATCAAGTACAGAAACTGCCGAAAGGTGAGTGCTTGCTCGTGATCTGCCCACGTATTGAAAACGGAAGGCATGAGGGTTGCAGAGCACAGAGACGGCTCGAGTGGGGCAGGGAGAAGTCCAAGCAAGCATACCTGCGAGTAAGTCCGCCACGTCTTCATAATCCACCTTGATACCAAGCTTGAGCAGACCTGTGCAGACCAGCCACACGATTCACGACACACGTAAAGAGTAAGACAAATGTTTTAGTGACACCATGACACGAGTAGCGTGGGCGGTTGGAGCCATGCCGTGCCTGCGTAGAGCTGGTTGAGGGTCAGCAAGGCATCCTTGGTCGTGTTCATGTCGGCAAAGATTTCCATGGCACCGTTGGCAAACTCCATGCGAAGGCTGCGTCCCCCCCACCGACATTGATCAGTGAGGCCAATTCAAGATCCATGGCAGGTAGCATGCTGCACGCCCCTTCAGATCAGCTTACTCAAAATTATCGGCAAAGTAGCCCCACTCGACGGAGCATAAGAGCGGAGGCAGACCGAGCTGACGGTGCAAACGGCAACAGAATCTTGAGTTGTGCGGCACAATTTGATGAAGCGCGAGCGCATGTGGGGAGCACTTGTAGAGCGCACGTTGCCCAGGCGATCCAACTAACCTTGCGGGCGTTATATTGAAGGAGGACGTCGTACATGGAGTAGTCGGCAGAATGCAGGTTGAGTTTTCGGGCCATGATGCGGCGCACGTTATCGGCGTACAGATGATGATCATCAAGCTCTTCCTCGGTGGGATAGTACACGGGTAAAAACTCAAGCTTCATATGCTGTGTCCCAGGCAGCAGAGCAGTATGGTATCATAGCGTCATGAGAAGCATAGTGCATGGCAGCTGGCAAGCTGACGAGAGTCGCACGTATGGTGACTCACATAGGCATACTGGGAGAAAGCGCGCCAAAACCAGAGTTCCGATTCAAAGCTCTCCGAGGGGTTGAAGTGAGTATAGAACAGACGCAGCACGACGGCTGGCCAATGTCGGGCAGAAAGTGTGTCCAAGTGTTTGGGGAGGATGGCGGGAGTGAGGTGGGTATTGAGGGGCCGTGCACAAGCAGGCAGTGATTGACAGCACAGAGCGTGGCGGCTGGTGATAGCTCACGTTGAATGGGAACGCCTGGGCGAAAAGCTCCGGTCTTGAAGCGACAGATGGCATTGCCGCATGTTGTGGTCCCCTCAGGATAGATCATGAGGGGCATGCTAAGGTCGCCCTTCAAGCACCTGTCCGCACTAGAGCCGGGTGCCGGTGGAGGACAGGGACGGGGTCAAATATCAAGGTAAAGTAGGCTGTGCCGGGACTGAACGGGCCAGCATTGGGGCGTTGAAGCGTACTGGGAGGCGATGGCGTTGACGGCCTTGGAGCTGGAGTTGCGATCTTCGCGGGTGACCGCCAGGGTCTGAAGAAAGACCATAGGCAGGCGCCAGTACCATTGCGCCGCGACTTGAGACTTGGACACGTGGGCATAGCCGAGGCTAATGAGTGCAAAGGGTTCAAAGTAGGACAAGTGGTTGCAAACAGCGAGCGGAGCCACCTGGCAAAAGAGCAAAGATTGTGGTCACAGATGAAACATGAGTTGTGGCGATCCGACGCTGACAAATGACTGATTGACCAGCATGAAGCGGGCAGTGCCGGGAAGGGAGAGGGCTTCTCTTCTTGCCTTTGTGGGCGCGGGTTGGCCCTTGACTTCGATGTAATAGAATCCCAGCACAAAAAGGATGGAACGGGCGAGGAAGCAGATGACAGGAAGGGCCAGCTTGACTCGCCAAGTGGCGAGCTTCTCGGGATGGTGGATATCCACGGTGGCCCCGATGCTGAGGAGAAAGGCCCAAGCATTGGCCAAAAGGAGAATGATGCAGATGAGGATGATACGAAGTGGGATGAGGATGGGACCCGTGACGAAGAGCTTAAAGTAGTCAGAGGAGCCAGCCTTGGCCGTGTCGATGCGAAAGGGATCGAGAGTGGGCTCCGGAGGAGCCACGCTGGTGACGGAAATGCGACCACTTCGTAAACCCCGGCGCCGTTGCTTTTCAACGTAGCCGACGCGTGGAGCCCGAGCAGCCATGGCGACGCTTTTCATGAGAAGGAGCAAATCACGCGGCGATCAGAGAGAAGGCGCGAAACCAGATAGAGCTTGCTTGTGCGGCTGCAAATTAGGCACAGGTCGGACAGCGATCGCGGTCTGCAGAGGTACGGGGGGCACGGCAATTAGGTCATGCAGTATGGGATTGGTGTGCCACAAGTGGGGATAGATGAGAGTGGGACCGAGTTTTGGACAAACCAGTGCCTGGTCGCGGGGGCCGGTCAGGCAGTAGTGATCGCACTTTGATCACAACTCTGCGCAGGACCACTTCTTCTTGACTTGAACTACGGCACCTGTTGATGCAGAGCTGGCCTGGCAACCAGATTGAGGTATGATTGAGCACGCCGTGCACCAGTCCCCGATTGTGAAGCAGGGGGAAGAGCGGTCGACCGAGAAAAAAATGCCACGGAGGAGGACGAGGAGCTACTTGAAGCGGTGGCTTTCGACAATACAACCCCTTGGCTGCCACGCTTCATCCCCCCCCCCCCCCACACACACACCGTGCCATCCTCCCCCTTGATCATATCCAATGTCCCCACCATCTCTTGACACTCACCTCTCGTCCTCAGCCCGCCGCCGACGCTGCCGTTTGTGTGTGTGTGTGTGTGTGTGTGTGTGTGTGTGTGTGTGTGTGTGTGTGTGTGTGTGTGTGTGTGTGTGTGTGTGTGTGTGTGTGTGTGTGTGTGTGTGTGTGTGTGTGTTGGAGCCTTTTATCGTGAAGTGTGTGTGTGTGTGTGTGTGTGCGCGCATGCGCAACGCTTGAATTGGCCAGAATTGGCCAAAGTGCAGGACACGAAGGGAGTGACAATACCTGTTGGATTCAAGAACTTTTCTGACATTCGGCTTGCAACTTTGCGTAAATGTGTGGAAAGAAGAGGTGATAAATATTGTTAAAACGATTACCTCTATCCTGATGCTTATCGACGCCTTGACAACGACCGCTTTGCCACACATACAGATATGAGCGGATAAGGGGATTGTGAGACGGTGATACCTCTGCACCTTGGCCACCGAAACAGTCATCTCTCTGACTTGCGTTTACTCTTCCACGTTGAAAGGTCATCACCCGGCTCCTTGTCTCTCAAAGGTCTGCTGCAATCTGATCTCTCGTCGTGTGTCTCTATGTTGCCTTGAGATTTTTTTTGCCTGTTGCATCGCACGTCGGTCCGGCTCGAGGACGGAGACCCTGGCTCAATTTGGTCGTCAATTTTGATCCAACCAGCAGCGTATAAAAGACGTGTGCGTGGCGTGCTTGGCCGTGGCACTTGTGTCGGTGTTTTCTGTCTTGCGGCCGTCGTCGTCGCCGCCGTCGCCGCAATTTAGTCACGCCTCTTGGCAGCATCTGGATCTTGTTCGGTGCCGTGCCGTGCTGCTGTGACCAAGGACCAGCATCATGGAATCCATCTACAACCTCGTGCCACGTGAAATGCGCGCCGAGCCCAAGGGCAAGCGGTATGTGCTACGTCTTCTTCCGTGTTGCTGTCTTCGCCGATAAACCCCTTGGTTCTCATCATTCAATCGCCTATTCCGTACTTGCTGCGCACAGATATGTGTCAAAGTACGCCACTCAAGCTCGCGAAGAGTACAAGGGTAACAAGCAGGGGGGCAAGACCATGGTGCGTGTTTCTCCTTTGCCTTTGCTTTCTCTCCCTTTCTCTCTCCCTCTTGCTCTTGTCTCTTGCTCTCGTCGTCTTCCGGCTGGATCAGAGCATTATTTTGGTCTTCTTCACCTCTACCTATCTCAACTCTCTTCCCCTCGACGCATGGCGTATCGCGTCTCAGGGTCCTGCCAAGGTTGAGCCCAACAGCACAACGCAGTTCTTGAAGCGCGGCATGGGTCAAACTGCTGCCGTAAACCACACCCAAAAACGTGAGGGCTTTGCTCAATTGCCCCCAGGCAAACATATTTTGACGCCTCAATCCTCGTTGTGTCCTCTTGGCGTGCCTCTTTTCAACGCTCGAGTCTCATACCTGCCGGGTGATTTGCGTTATTGCGACGTGTAGCCGACCGCACCAAACCCAACAAGGCGAAGAAACCGCCCGTACCAAAGCACAACGACGCTCCCGTGATGGGTTTGAAGAGCCAAAAGAACTTTATCAAGGGCAATGCCATCGCCGCCATGACTCTGCAACCTACGCAACGCGAGGAGCTGGGTAAGTTCAGAGCAACAACGGGCCCCTTTCATACCTCCGCCATGCCTGCTCCTTTCTTCTCCGTCGGCTTGTCGACACAATAACACTCGTTTGAGAAGCGAACCAGCAGGCCCAGAGCAGACCTCACGCGACGGCGACGTGCCATGTGCTCCGCATTGATAGTTTTGGACGCAACAGGCCGTGTCGACCCCGCCAAGGCTGGCCTCAAGCCCACTTACTCCAAGAAGAAAGATTATGGCAAGACGCCAGCGTACCTGACCAAGCGCAAGCAGGAGGAAGAACGGGCGACTGCCGAGTACGAGGACTACATGCGTACAATCGCTGCACAGAACGCACCCTATGAAGTGCCCGAGGATGAGCGCCAGGATCTGTTGCGTGGCCTCAAGGCCAACTGGGATCAGCTCCACAAGGAATACCTTGGTTTTAGCATGGTGGTGGATACGGCAACAAAGCAACTCCGCAAAAAAGACATGGAAAAGCGGTTGGCACAGCTGGAAAGTGACATTCAGCTCATCGAGAACCACCCCGTTATTCTCGTGCAATGAGTGTGGTCCTGACATCCCCCCCTTGTATTTTCTTTCAAAACTCCCTTGTGCTTCTTCTCTCCTTTTCTTTTGTTTGCTAGCGTTATCCCGGGGCCCTGTGATCTGACCGTGGAAGCGATGTGCCGTGTTGAGAGAGGAGCCGGGCTAGATGTCTCGTCTTGTTTTTGCATCTAGTGATGGGGGCGGCGGGTGTGCAGTGCAATGCGACCGTCCTCAGCAACTTGAAATTGTTCAATTTGAACGCGTCTTATTATTACCACGACCCTTTTTGCAACAGAATACACAGCGCGCACGGCAGCCGTGACAGCACGTTGATTGTATTCTGTACCCAAAAAAAGGCCGCTCACCATGAGCGAGCGCAGGAGCGCTTGGCACGGGGCACAAGAAGGTTCAAACCCTGGAGTCGACTCGATGCACAGCATGAGAGGCAGCCAAATTAAGACGGTTGATTGGTTGGTGGGTTTTAAGCACTTGCACGCAGCATGCGCGCGTCGGCCAATCTATTCTTGGGTGCCTCGAGCGAAACGCTGGCCCAAGCTAGACCACACACGGCAGCCAATAATAGAACGTGGGTGATAAATTCCCAGAAACCTAAGACATGTGCCACAAATAGTAACATCAAAAAGGAAGGAGCGAACCCATGCCGACCAAAATGAAGATGGCCAACACAAAGAGGGGGGAAGAGGGGGCAAAGACAGGGATTGATTGACAAAAGCAGATGAGGATTGGATCCTACCAAGTTGGGGCGAGTTTTGCAAAAATGCATTCAATCGGGCCAGTTGACTGTAGCTTCTCGTGACGGCGTGCAGGGGCTGCAGATCATAAGGTGGGCGCATCTGTTGGTCCGAGAAGTTGCGACCGGCGTCTTCGTCCATGGCATCGGCTACAACAAGGGCGGTTGCGTCATGTGTGGCTTCTGGTGGACTGCTCAGACCCTGGGACTGATCAAAGAAGATGTCGCGGAACGAGGCGGTCGAGGAGGCGTTGCTTTGCCAAGCCTCGAGGGTGAGTCCTCGAGGCCACGACCAGTTGGCAGCGGCGACAGAGGCTGACATTTTTGCAGTTTGGTTGCGCCATGTTTGCTCGACCTGCCGGCCCACCGAGCTCATGCTGGCGCGGACACGAGCGCGGAGCTGGGTGCTGCAGGCTCGGTAGGCGCGTGCCCATGACTGCGCGTCGTGCATTTGGATGTTGAGGTGGACCACGTGGGCCAGTTCGCTGACGAGCTCAGGGGTGAGGGCAACGGCGAGCTGGTGTTCAGGACCACTAGCCGTGACCTTGACAAAGGTGCGTCCGGAGCGAAAAATATACATTACGTGTTTGGCTCGCGAATTGGCAGGAAGATCCACGCCAAGACCCTGTGCATCGGACACGCCATACAGCACAGGATCCCACAGGAGAACATGTGGCTCCATACCTGATGATAGTGGGCAGTCAAGAGGGATGAGGAAGGTTGCCAGAGAGACGGAGATACGGAGAAACGGAGAGACGGAGAGAGAGGCGAAAGAGAACCCTGAAAACATGGCGATGAGAAGCAAAGACGCAAAGCTGGACCAACCGATGCCGGGTGTGGCGAGCGTGACGTCACTCATGAGGCGGTAGGGGACCGGCTCGTAGGCGTGGCGGCCCCAAAAGCGCCAATAGTAGTCATGGGCAGCTTGCTCATTTGCAAAGGTCTTGGTGACAAACTGCAGCTTGTGCAGCACGGGAAAGAGGCCACCGTGACCTGGAGAGGCCTCAAACTCGGAGAGCCCGCAATGCTCGCCTTGAAATCGTGGAAAGTAAATGTCGTCTCCAACACCATAATTGTGGCAGTCACTGCCAAGCTGTGATGTTGATGGACCGCGGAGGGTGAGAGCAAAGGCTGAAGTGAGGCTGTTGCTGGTGGCGCAGCTGGGGGACCAGGGGGAAAAAAAAAAAGCATCATCAGCCATGCACTCACTGTTTCGCGGTGATTCACCCTGCGAAGAGCCAGGGTTGCTGGGAGCTGGTCGGGGCTGGGGTGAAACTGGAGGTAGGCGACTTCACCAACGCGGCAGACCTCAAGATACATGAGGATGAGCAAGGGGGCCAGGGCCACAAGGGCCCACAGCACGGAGGACGTCCAGTTTGGCCATTGCTTGCGCTGACTGGCACTGGCGTGGGCGCTGGGATGGCGGTTGAGGGGGTGCGGTTTGTGTGAGATAGCAAAGGACGGAACCCGGGCCGGGGCACGAGGGCAGAAGTCAGGGCTGGAGGGCAGAAGTCAGGGCTGCTCGAATACCAGGCGGCCGGAGGGTGCTGTGCAAGCATCAAGAGACTCGTACCGTGTCCACTTTCGGCGCGTGGGGGACGCAGGTGAGCTCGACCGTCGTCGGAGCTGATGGCCAGCAACAGCCATACTTGCGACGGGTGCTGTCACGGGTGCTGTGACAGGGCTAGCTAGCTTGTCGCCTCAGCCAACAAGCTGCCTTCGCAGGCCGAGGGCGTCCGCAACCTCCTGCTACCATGCGAGAGCGAGGGTGGGAGGAGTGTGTGTGTGTGCAAGGCAGAGGCACAGGTAGCGACAGAGAACAAAGTAAAGAGGATGGTGTGTGCGTGAGAGAGACAGCGACAGAGACAGAGCTAGCGAGGGACCGAGGGAGACAGACCATCCGCCAGACGCACGCCTCACCCAGAGCTGGCACGAGCCCAAGAACCGCCCGTTCAACCGACCACGACACACACACACCACGTAAAAAGCAAAAAAAACTCAACACACACACACACACACACACACACAAGATGAGAACCCAAAGGCACACGAGGTCCTTTTTGTACTTGATCATCCTTTCTCTTTCTTCCTCTCTCTCTCTTTCTGGATGTTCAAATAGGGGTGTGCTGGTTCAAGGCATTCTTCCTTACGGATTTCTGCATGGACGTATAACGTCGTATAGACACACACAACATGAGCCTCAACAGCTTGTGTGTGTGACATTGTTCATTCGTCTGACAATAAAATAATCTGACAATTATCCAAAAATGATGACAAACCCGTTCACTGCATTCGTATACAGGATAGGCCCGCCGACCGGACTGAAGTGTGTGTGTGTGTGTGTTGTGTGTGTGTGTGTGTGTTGTGTGTGTGTGTGTGTGTGTGTGTGTGTGTGTGTGTGTGTCCGCCGATTGATATTTTTCTTTTTTTTTTTGGTCTCGATCGTGACGTTTCGTGCTTCTGGTCCTTTGACCCCCCTCTGGAGGTGTCTGTCCGCTGGTATGTGCGGTGAGATGACACTTGGCGAGCCGGGAATGTGGATGGGTGTTCACTCACACGCTTGCTCTGAAGCACCAAAACAACAATGGCCACCACTTCGTGCCATGTCTGGAATGGGCTGTCCGCCCACCGATTGCTGCCGGCTCAAAGCGCTCTGCAACGGCAAACCAAGTCGGCAAAGACAAAAGGGAAGTGATGCAGCCATGTTTCTGTGTGTAAACCCCAAGCTGCCGGCGTTGTCACAGCATTGTCCATGCCTGCCCCGACGAAGACTCGTGCCTCCTGTCATATTGATGAATGGCTTCCGGTAAGCCGGCAAATAATCTCTTTGCGCGTAGTACTCTGTCCACATCGTGTCCCACCTCGAGTTTTGGGGGGTGTGTCTTTTGCCTCTACGAAAAAATTCCCGTGCTCGTCATTTCTCACCTTCGGCTCGGCACCTTGCGTGCGATCTGGCAGAACCAGCCGCGCTCACACATAACTCGCCCCCCTTCACTTGGCATTCCCTGCTCGCTCACACCGCCAGCTACCCATCCTTTTCACCGAGTTTTTACCAAAGGCCTTGACGCATCCTTGTGTCAGTCGTAAAAATCCGGGCGGCTGCAAGGCCTGAGCTTGGCGCCACACGGCACTCTACACGCACGCCAGCAAAGCCGAGCAGAGTCCTGCTCGGCGCTCCCAACCTTTCCTCCTCGTGGCCCCGCTGGCCTAAGCCATGTTGCTACCTCTCTTTGCAGTCGTGTTGCTGGCCGTGGCGGGCAGTGCCCTGCTGGTCGGGGCGACCGTCCTCGCCACGAAGCTCATCCGCCGTGCCCGGCTGCGGCATTCGCGCGACAATGAGCGACCAGAAACCGTCACCGCGACAGAAACCAGCGTCATTGCCGTGCCAAACGAGATGATGGTTGCCTCCGCACTCTCCACTGATCACGGCTGCACCCGCGAGACGCTCGAAGCTCGCGATTCCTTTGCTCGTATTGAAATCCCCGACGCCTCGGAACTGCCCCTTGGTTCCCTCTCGGCCAAGGCCAAGGCTGGCCGCTTTTCCATCCAAGACGCCTTTCTGCAACAAGATGGCCAAAAGCACAACCCCTTGTATGACTCCATCAGTAGCCGATCTGGGGCAGCCACGGCTGCCGTCATGCGTGAGGTATGTGCATATGTGCATGCCCTCGTCATCAGCACTGAGCCCTTTGCCAGCGAAGCACAAGTGCATAAATAACAATACAAAGCACACTCACTCCTCCCTCGCCATTTTGGTCCATGATTCGTGCAGCTGATGGAAAGCGAGAACGGTCCGCAAGCGCGCTCCCCCGGTCGCTCCACCCTCGGTGGTACTGTTCACGCCCTCGTCCGCCGCAACTCGTGCGAATCGGACATCACCGTCAGTACCCCGGCTCGGTCTGCTTCCCTGAATCGATCTGACCACGCCCGGTTCAAAACTGTCCAACGCAGGCCTTAACACCCATGCCCCCCCCTCCCCCCACCCCCCTTTGCCCACGCTCCTCGATGATACCTAAATTTACGCAGGCCGGCGAGTCGCCTCACAACCAAGAGTCTCTCTCACCGTTACGACAGGCGCTGGCCAACAATTACGATCGCATGGTCATGACATCGGCAAGCTCACCCCAGTCCGCCTCTGGCTCCGGCCCAGGCTATTCCACGCTACTCGACGTCAATGCAAACGGCGACACCAAGCGCCACAGCTATGCCGAGGCCGATGAACTCGCAGGGACCGACACTGTGCCCCCCCTTCAGCGCGCCCACAGCTATGCTGAAGCCGATGAACTAGCTGCCGATAACGATGGGTACGAACGAGCCGATGACCTTGGTGCTGCTTCAGGGCCTGCCCCCTTGCTTCGCAGCCATAGCTACGCCGAGGCCGATGAGCTTGCAGCTCCTGACGACGATGGCTACGACAAAGCCCAGGACATCATGGGTGGCTCTGATCACCATAGCTACGCCGAGGCCGATGATCTGGCAGCGCCAGACGACGAAGACGGCTACGAGCAGGCCGACAGCTTGGCTGCGGCCAGTGGCTACGACAAGGCCCAGGATGTGGGCGCAGGCTCAGCCCTGCGGCACAGCTATGCGGAAGCTGATGAGCTTGCTTGGGACGATGGTTACGACAAGGCACAGGATCTTGTTAGCCACAGCTACACCCAACCCGACGAGCTTGCGGCTGACAGTGGCTACGACAAGGCTCATGATATTGCAGCTTCATCCAGCCCCAACCACGGCTACGCCACACCAGCCGACATTGCCCCCCCACCTCCGTCCTTCCAGCGTGCCGATTCGAACGTTGATGGAAACTACCACAACGTTCGCGACATGGCCGCCGGCAATGTCAGTGCTCTTGACTCGTCCACGGAAACGGCCGTGTCTGAGGGTTACACCTCCCTGTCCAACTCCCCAAGAACTCGACCCCTACTCCGCCGCAAGTCCACCAAGAACACCCTGAATAACATCTCATCCGATATCCGGTTGGCCGAGGTAGGCCCACTAGCAGCTGGCAGCCGGCTTTCATTGCCAAATACAAAGTTGCCTTGCTTTGAGTTTGCTTGTCCCTCACTCGTGTGCATTCACCCGCGCTCGCGCAACCGCGTGCATTCCAGTTGCAACCCCAGATTCCCAATGCGGAAATCACGTTTCGCGGCTTGCTCCACGAGGTAGGAATATACCACAAAGCCAAAGACTGTTTCATCAGCCTCCCAGCATCTGCCCGGTCAGCTGTGGCCGCGCTGGTTGAGGGGGTGGTGTTTAATCGAGACTTCACGCCATCATGTTCGGTGCCATTGTCTCTGGGTTCTGGACAGGGCGTTTTTGGGACAGTGGCCAAAGCCATGTTGGAGCAAGCCAACGGTCGGTCCGACTTGGTCACCATTCTGGTGCTGCCTGATGACGAAAACGCCCTCCGTCATCGAGCGGTGGACATGATTCGTGCTCTCAAAAAGCTCGACCACCCTAGCGTACGAGCTCTTGCCCCACATGCCTCCAGACCACCGCTTTGGCTATCACTGCAAAAGATCGCCTTTTTGCTCAAAGTAGCCAATCTGATATGCCCATCGCAGGTGGTCAAATTTCTGGGCATTCACCTCGTCCCACCGCGCGCCATGCTGGCGCTGGAGCACATGGTGGACGGTCATCTGGCATCATACTTGGCACGTCAGGGCAAGAATGTACCGTTGCATCGACGCATGGAATTTGCAATGGACGTGGCCACAGGCATGGATTATTTGGCATCTGTTGGCGTCGTCCATCGCGATTTGCGCGCGTACGTATTCCGCGGACGCCAGGCTGCTGCTGCCCGTCCAGCTGCTTCGACCCCACCATGCTCCCCCACAACGCCCTGTGCACACCGCGCTTCACTGCCATGGCGGATACTTGGCCTTTGATAAACATAGGGAAAACGTGTGGGTGTGCCGTGACTTTGCCAAGCTGTACGACTTTGGTTATTCCCGTCAAGCCAGCAATGATGTTGACCAGCTGACATGGGCCTGGATGGCGCCAGAGCTCAACGCCCGCGACGAGCCCAGTGACCGCGAACACACCATTCTCAGCGACGTGTTTAGGTCTGCGAGCCCCGCACGCGCCCATGACCGCTGCCTTCCCATCTCATTCTCTCATTCTCATCCGCGCGGCACTTTCCTTCAACCCTGCCCCATTCTCTAGCTTTGGCGTGTTTCTGATGGAGCTAGTCGCTACCAACGGCGGTCTCAGCTACCCGACGGAATGGTCTCAAGACCTGGTGAGGCTGGCACATAGAATGACTGCATTCATTGGTACTGCCTTGGTTCATGTCCTCGTCCCTCACTTTTGATACCCTGCTTGCCTGCGATCTAGATTAAGCGTCAAGTTGAAACCGGCTATCGCCTCAGTCGACCCGCTGATTGTCCAGAATCTGTGTTCACCATTGCCACTCGCTGCTGGCATTCGACACCAGCAGAGCGCCCTGATTTTGAATGGCTCGTCAAGCGCATCAAGGTGACGCAGGGTGTGCTCACGACGCAGGAGCGCCTGGACGCCCGCGCCAAGCAGATGTCGCCCGTACCCAAACTCATGGAAAGTGAAGATCAAGGCTCGGCTCACAGCATTCAAATACAGGCTGAAATGCGCCGTCCCGTACCACGTGTCAGCTCGGCATTCTCTGCCAGCTCAGAGGACTGGAATCGCATCGCCAACACGGGTCAGCTGCATCGCGCTGGTACCGACAGCAACTTATCCCATCGCTCCTCCTACGATCAGCTACAAATGGATCCCCTGGCTGTAACGTTTGTGCGTGCCAACGATGGCATGCCGACACTCGCGGGCGCAGGCGAGGCAGCCAGTGACTATTACACGCGCATGGATGATGCCAATCGTCCAGACCTGCCGGTGGGCTATACACCCATGGTGTACAGCCGTTCGGGCTCCAAAGTCATGCCTCCCGTCCTGCGGCAATCCTCTGTGGAGCGAGCAATCCGCTCAGGCATGCGACGCTACGAGGAGCTTGATCAGGCAGTCGAGTTCCCCTCCTTACAGCGTCAACAACTACCCAAGCCACGCATGTCCATGCGCATGAACTCCCACACCTCTGGCCTAGTGATTCAGCAGGAGGGGGTTCCGGACGACCCGTACGAAGAGGCTTGGGAGGCGACACCTGCAGCCGCCAACGCTCCTCAACAGCATGTCAACCAAATGGGCCACCCCGATGCTCGGGGGGGCTCTCAAAAGGGTAAACCCAACAAACCCCGCCACACAAGTGTGGTATCCGAGTACGACGATTTGGTAGATGTGCATGGGGTGGGTCCCCAAGGCACGTCCCCCGTTATAGCTGGTCCTGCTGCTCCATCACTCAATCTACCGGGTAAAGGGAGTCAATCGGCTGTGGTGGATGAAAACCCGTACGAGCCCATTCCTGGCGAGACGGCGCCGGTCTGCATCGAGGCGGAGGCGGCCGCTGACGGCGACAGTGGTGCATACATGACACCACGAGCACTGCTTGAGCCCGAGTGGCTGCATGGATGCATGGATCGCACCGAGGCTGCCGAACTCGTGCAGCTCAAGGCCTTAGGTGGTGGCCTTCCTGGAGCCTACTTTGTGCGCCGGAAAACTGAAGCCAATAGTTTTGCCATTACGGTCATGAGTGACTGGGCACAAGTGGATCACTATCTGCTGGTAAGTCGCATGCCTCTGGGTCTGTTGTGTATTTGCCGCACATTCCAAAGCGTGGAATATCGCACCGCAAACGTCGCTGGCATCCGCCTCTCTGACACCTTGTCGATGGTCACGTAGAATTATGATGATGCCCTGGGTTGGTACATGAACGGCTCGACACAGCAAAAGTGCGGTGGTGCCGATGAAAACCTGACAGTGGTTGTGGCAAAACTCAGTTCCGACGAGGACCAATGGCGGCTGCCTCTGACTGTGCCTGTTAGCTGTTTGCGTCGAAACGATGCCTCAGGCACGCCCAATTTACCTGAGCCTGTGGTCCAGCGACGTCCCGTCGCTGCCACGCTTCTCTAGGCACATGTAGAGTTGTGTGCCGCTTATGTTTCTTGACCCGGCATTAATTCTCCCATCAGTCGTTCAAGAACCAGTCGTGCTGTTCACACTTCTGTTTCAGCCCATGTTCCGCTTGTTCCTGACATGGCTTGTTGGTCTTCTTTCTTTGGTAATATTGGATGTTTGACATATTAATAATTAACACAGGATCTCGGATGTGATGCCTCGTTCTCCGTTTCTCGCGAACCGGCTTGATGCCCTTCGCCGTCTATTGCACGCACCGCCATTGAACGGGCCTCGCATGTCAATTCAGTTGTAAAAAAGACAGGTTGTGCTATGGGTTGGCGGTTGTCACGCAACAAGCCTCGCGGAATTGCTTAAGAGCGTGGCTCGGCGTTCTCGAGGCCAAGTGCGCGCAAGATAAACGCAAAATCAAGCGCCACATCCTTCAGCACGTCAAAACGGCCGCTCTCACTGAAATGCCCAGCATTCATGTTGACGTGACACAAAACCGTTTGTGCGCCCTCATCACGTAGGCGCTGGGCGTATTTCAAGGGCTCCCAGTAGCCTACGCGCGGGTCATGCAAGCCAGCTACCACGTAGGGCAAGTACGTGAGGCGGCAAGTCAATATCCATGAATGCTCGACCAGCGACACTCAGGGGTCACGCAGTTCCAACCTTTGATAAGCACAGGAGGGTAAGGGCCCTTGCGAAAGTCAACTTGATCCACAGGGCTGTACGACTTCATGTAGTCATAGTACTCCTTCTCATGGGGATTGCCCCACTCCTCCCACTACAGCCCAAACAATGAAGGCAGAGGGTGTGAATGAAAACGCAGGCTGTGGCTGAAGCGGCATGGGTGAGGTGCAAAAGCCAAGGCCTATGGTCTTCACCTCAACGACAGTCAACGGAATGGTATCGTCCAGCATTGTGGTCAGGACATCCACAAAGGGGACGCCGGCCACAGCGCCTGCATAGTCGAGTCAAGTTCAAGCAAGACATCATGAGCTCAAGTCTTCAAGAGAGCCAGGGCGTCGCCAATGGCCTGGCGGCACACAAATCTGCTAACCGGCGTAAAAGGGCTTGCCATCGGGTCGTTGCGGCGCCGTGTTGAGGGTGGCTCCGATCAAGAGTCCACCCGCACTGCGGCCCTCAATCGTTAGCCTGAGGGCACGAGAGGGTGCGAGCGTCAGCTCTCATGATGCTGATAATAAAGCGAGATAGGAACCACCTTGACCCTGACTTGAGCAATGAAATGCCACCAGCGTTTACACTCAACGAACCGATCGGGGTCGGCAATCTTCTCGTCCACCAAGAATTGAGCACAGGCGTTAAAGTCGATCCATGTATTGGCCTTTTTCAAGTACTTGCCATCCTCGTACCTGAAGGCGTTGTTGCAATCGAGCCGCAGCGTGAGCTTTCGAGAGTTATCCGATGGAACTGGAATGCCAACGCAATGCTTGCTTGATATGAAAAAAGCGGGAAACTCGGCGGTCTTTCAACCGCGCACACGCGCACTCTCGCACGCACCACATTCGGCCCATGTCGCCACCGCCACGAACGTGGGCCAGGGCAAAGACGACGCCACGGTCAAGGAGGCTGAGCAGGTTCTTGGAGAACCACGGGTCGTTGGAAATTTCATATGATCCATAGCCGTCCAAATGAACAGGGTTGGGTCCGGCCGGAAGATCCTTGCGGCGCACCAAAGAGATTGGCACCATAACGCCGTCATGTGACTTGGCCCACAAGCGACGGCTCTCGTACTTGCTGGCGTCATAACCATGAACCGGCTACATGGGCAAAGGGTGGATAGACCAGCAGAGATTTAGGCATGCATCAGGGCAGAGTGAAAGGGGGGAAAAAAGGAACAAAAAGGCATTCAGGTGCAGAGAATCAGTACTGGCGTACATCCATTTTCTTGAGGACACTGCCAGCCTTGAGGTCGTGCAGGTTGACGTCAAAGGTAGAGACTGGGCAAGTCATGGAGGTGTAGCCATAGCGAATAATGGGAGAATCAAACTCGGAGCGCTTGAGCCACAACGAGTAAACTTCCTCTTGCATCGGGACTAGATGGGGGATATCAATACAGGAAAGGATCATGATGAGCCAGGCCAGCAGCTTCGCGTGCGTTTGACAGCCATGCGGAATGCACAGGGGTGCACAACCATCTACAGAACGCACCAGCACTGGCAGGTGCAGAAAAGCTATTGCTGTCACGAGTGGCAAAGGGTCGCGCATAGATGGTCGAAGCACAGTCGGCACGCAGGCAGTAGACCAAGAAATCGCGGCACAAGTGGACGTCTTCGAGTCGCCCATGAATGTCATGGGAAGAATCTAG